TCGTTTCCAGCTGCTCCGTGAAGAATTTCCTGGCCATGCTGTGCAGCACGGTGCCACACTTGTGCAATCAACAAGCAACGCGAGAACGGTCTCGGCTTACTTGAATCATCTTGAATGCCTGAGATATCCTGCACTCCGCCTGAAGGGCTAATGGAACGATCACTGAACGACCCCATCGGTCGCATCCACAGCTCTGCCAAGGCTCAGCTCAGCGGCCAGCACGTCAGGGCCCATCTGCGTGGCCTTCCGAAGGCGGGCGCCGCCTTTCCTGAGGAAGGGCAGGACTATGATGGACTGGCTACAGCTGGCAAAAGAGTGCTACACTTGAAGCGAACGCAAGGAACGCCGGGATTGCCTTGGGCGGACCACGCTGGCCTTTCTATGCCTTGCTACTGCTAGACCGGTGAGGCAGTTGGTGCTTTGATTTTGCTTGCTTTGCAGCTCAGTATCAATATGTCATTCTTTACGTCCGCCGAGTTTGCAAAGATCACCTGTTGCACAACTGCACGCCACCACGACGCCATCCAGAAGTCTGTGGTCAGTATGGTATGGTACGTGCATGCTAGTTTTGTGAACGGCCAACCGAAGTTAAGCGAAGGTCAGCAGAATCTTGTCGACATTGCCGCGTCAAATTATGATGTCCCTTTAAGCCACCCCCCAGGACTCTGGTGGCAAACTGGCCCTCGGCATTGGCATAGCAGGGTTGCTTCAGCCTCGTGAGCAGCATTCTCATCCATCAATGCCACCTTGACGATGCTGATGAACCTCAGCCATGCATCCTTCAGAGGTCTCGTGCAGAATGCCACGCACAGGACATCCAAAGAGACTGACCGATCAAAGTAGGTGCGCCCCTGGTGTGTCGGCTCCACCTCACAACGGTGTGGCGGAAGACTGATGTCTTCCGGGGTGTCCCATGGTTGACGGATTGCACTGAGCAGGACGAACATCACTGGCAGTCACAGGCCTCAATGCGATACCCAAAGGGTTGCTTCAGCATTTCAACCAGCTGGTCCTTCTCTTCCTCAGATAAAGACAAAGGTGATAGAAGACCGATCACAGGTCCAGCCATAATCATCATGTGCCTTTGAAACTCCGCTGACATCACCGACTGCAGGGCACAGCGGCGACGTGCGCCGGGAAAATGCGACTCCAGCAAGCCCCGCATTGAGGATTGTTGCGCCTCCCAACTGCAGTCGAGCAGCCCGGGACTTTCAGAGGTGGGTTTGGGGGATGGCGTCATTTACATTGCCCTTCAAACCCTCAGACCACATTGGAGGCCTATACACGTTGTAGGCCTAAACTCCCACTTTTATGGAACTAAAGGGCTTCTAACTCCTAACTCAACTCAACCTAGTTTAGGGCTGAAAGGGCCTCCAACTCACTTTGTAGGGTTCAAGGCTTCCTACTCCCACCAACTACACGTCCGGTCTGGGGCTTCAACTTAGCACGTATAGGGCTTCAAGCCCCTTTTTGGTTTCAGGGCCTCTATGTCACCCAGCAACCGGGCTCTGGGCTTCTAACTCGTGTCGCTTTCGATGCTCACACGCACACGAGGCATGCAAGGCAATCCAACGCTGTCCCCGACATATCTAGAGCTCGTGCGAAACCAGTTTTATCAAAAAAACTCTATCGGATAATGTCACAGCACTTAATGATAACCCCTTTGAGGGCGAAAGGCTTCCAACACTCCTTGCTGTAGATTATTTAACTCTCAAGCTTCAACGCCTTGGGGGCGTAACTGTGTTACTGAACTCCCCAGTGTTGAATTCTGGAATGAGTCTGCAATTTAAGGTTCCAAGCCAAACCCTCAGCTCGAAGGCCACGCCCCTGTTAGGTGAACAGCATCAAACCGTGAACCAGAAACCCTAAAGCAGCAGCAGGGGGGGGGAGGGGGTAACCCAAAGAACCCCACGACGATCGGGATCTCTAAACCATGTATGAGGTACAGAATGTTCGAAGCCTCAAGCGAGCCATCTACTACTCATTCCAAGCTAACCCCGGGCCCCGTTATGGCATTGCATGGAGTAAAGGATGTTACAAGCTGCAAGGCTCCGAAGTGTGAGCACGTGACAAACTGTCCAAAATAAAGCCGAGGCGCTCATCTGGCACATCATCCAAGCTCTTCACTCGCCGGTTCGATATGGTGTACACCCTTGGCAAATACAACACGGGCATAGGGCATGGGACCACTTCTGGCAGACGGATGCTCAACACTCTAACATGGCCATGTTCTCCAGACATGTGCGAATGGCACCGTTGACATAGGATGCACGGGAGTGTGACCTCCCCACACCCCCATGCATCTCGTTCGTCCGGCGTATCCTGACTGCACCATGCGGCACGATACTGTGTCAAGTCGCTGGTCGAAGCACCGCGGTTGTCTGGCACGCTCTGGAAACACAAGCTCTGGATACGCAGCAGGCGATGACAAGCCTCAGCACTTCTGCTTCCCCAAACGCAAGGTTTCAGGCAATGCGATATGCGATATGTCTTTGACGTCTGAGCCTCGCACTGTATGGGGAGTGGCTGTTGACATTGCTATCTAGCAGGGAGAACTCCTCATAGACCTGCCAGCGCGCATGAGTTCCAAAGCCGCACAGTCACATGCTTCGTTAGGCATGCAGGAATATGCAGCACTCCCATAAGGATCCGCCTGCACAATGTTGCCTACCTGCCGGAGCCGGCAGTTGTTCTGCAGCTCCTGCCATCGCTTCTTGCAAGCATTGAATCGGAACTTGACGGGCAACCGAGGGCTTCGTTGAATGCATACTGTATTGGCTCGCACTTGTAGCTTCAGCATGGTATAACTCGGTGTCGCTTGTTGATGAATGACTAGCAGCTACAGTTAGTTCTTTACGCACCTGCGATAACGCCGAGCTACGTGGAGCACTTGAAATAACTCTGAATACCGCACTGCTTTCATCCCAGGCGCGCGAAAACCCTTCAGATTCGGACTACCCCTCATCATGCTCAAGTTACGCATGGTGTCCTTCAGCGTTGTATTGAACTTCTCCTCGGTTTGTATGGGCGGTCATGCACGGGACCAAGAGCTCTGCAACTTTAGACCCTCGAAACCCAACAGCCAGACAACAAACAGAAAGGACACCTAGAGTCCTAGAGATGTCATAGGACGAAAGAGGCATCATCCTAATGGACTCCGATGCATCCTGGTCTGCTGCCTGGATGCACCTTCACCCATGACCAGCTTTGTGATCGAGCTGTTGACGTGAATGACGGCATCAGCTTTAAACATCAACTGCGGCAACGCCTGCATGACCTCGCAGTCACTGCAACTGCAACCCGCAGAACCGACGCTCAAGGCGTCATATGGCGCCATATGGTGCTATGATGTGCTATGCTATGTCAGGCCGACCTCGAGCACGGCAGCGCTGTCCTTCTCTGTCCATGGCTCCTGCGCTAGTAGAGACGGATGGTGGGTACTAGCAGCAGAGTTGTATGAGCATGCTCTTGCTCTCATTTCTCTTCAGCTGGAACGGCAAAGTGGGATGCATTAGCATACGCTGACACCAAGAAATGAGCACAAGCATGCAAGGGCTCCTGGTCGGCCTGTGTCGGCGGCTGGGGCATCGAGAGAAAGTCCTAGGATCGGCAGCCGCGGTCACGGAGTGGTGTCGTCGTACAGATCGCACAGCATTCCTATACCTGGTCTGACCGAGTCTGACCCTCCTATGAGAGCTGAATTAGAAGCTGAGATACGCAAAATACAAGCAGTCGGCCCTCGGCTCGAAGCTTTACGGCCTGAGCTTGACGGCTCGCCGTCTGCAATGTAATTGAGCTATATTGAGCTGCTTTCAACTTGCTTTCAACATTGAACTTGCAAGTGTGCAACATCGTGCACCCTGATATGGATGCCATTGCCATCGGCACAGGAACACATGGGAACCCTCTGTGCGGAGGAGGCTGCAACTTTCTTCAGAAGTCCGTTGATGGCAGCTGCCTGCCATCTAAATTGAGAATCACTGCGAATTGCAGGCGGTCTGCAACAATCGAAGAGTATGGCATGACGACTTGTGCGACTTGTATATCTTGATCCCTGATGTATGTGTTTCGCATTGTTTGTGTCGCAGCCTTCACACCGGTAGGGTCCGGGTGCATCTGATGAGACCAGGACTGCGAGACCACCACCAAGGAGTCTCCAGCAGCAGGCTCCTCGTGGAGGAAGCCTCTGCTTCGATCACTTCGCGCAGGCTTCGAGGCCGCGAGTTTCCTTTGTCTGATCACTTCGAAATGCGTTTCGAGGCACGGATGTCCTGGCATCGTGGCCAAGGAATCGGCAATTGTGATATTGCCGTCCTGAGTTGAGCCGCACAAGGACACTGGAAGCAGATTGGAGGTGCCGGTCAGAGAAGCAGAGTAGGCGCGAACACGAAGGGCAGCCAAGGCGCGCAGGCAATAGCCGAGCTTCCTCTGGCAGCGTTGTATTCACATCTAAGGGCATCCCTGTACACCCGGAACCCTGCCCCAGCAAGATTCGCTGGCAGCTGAGTTCGCAAACAGACTCTTTGCGCAAGAATCTTAGGAAAGATCCAACAGCCGGCACTGTGCTGCTTGGCAGCGCCGTGACCCGACTGGGACTGGTTCTGACATCCTTTACTTGTGCCGAGCACAACTCTGGTGACTCTAGAGCTGATGCACTCTGGGTGACAGTAGCTACTCAGTGGCTATCCGACACTGGCAAGGGTAAGTGGGTCTCACTCAGCACGAAGCCTGACATCAGCGCCACAACCCTGATTTGACGTTTATATGGTATACGGAGATATGTCAGAACCAGCAAAACACCAAAACCTCCTTCGGAGCTGGTGCCTGCGGTTTTGAAAAGACCCAACTAGCTTGAGCTGAACGGCGGCAAGTAAATAGTAAAGCTATGCAAAGTGGAGCCGGGGCCGAAGCGCCTAGAGAAATCTAATGCAGCTTGGCACATTCATGACGTCTCTGATCTTAGCCCTGAGTTGGTTGCATCTGATTGCCGACAGGGTTGCCACAACAAAGTGCCCGAAGGACAGAGATCGCAGAGTCGCCAGTAAAGGCTCGTACAGCACCTGCCAGTTGCTTGCGGTGGCATAGCCAAATCAACGAGCGCTCCAGCACATTGCAGTAGCTCATCCTGCTCTAGAAATGCGCCCGTGGGCACTGGGTCATAGCAAACATCGGCTGCGATCACCAGATCGAAGTGTCCGACCTCCGTTTGCTCAGAGTAGCGTTGCATCTAGACCAGTAATTGCAGTATGTTCAATTTCATTATCTCTAGGACGCCAAAACATCCGTGCTGCAAGGCTGCCAGTTCCTCTGCTTTGCCATCGTCGCCGAAAATAAGAGGAAGCACAGCCTCTACGTGCTTGGCCAACGTGCTAAGAGTTGGATACAGGAAGGCAGAAGCGAAACCAGAAAAATTGGGGGCGACAGGAACCTGCGATGTCTCTTGAGATTTGACACTACGCCCCTAACAACCTACAAAAGCCAGCCAACTAGGTCGAGTCCGTTTTTTAACGATGGCCGCCGATGGCCCAAGGACGTGCGATAAAGTGCCGAAAATTGCGGCAGGCGTGGTGAATCGGAGATTTCGCCAAGCCATGTCCAGTGGGTGCTTGGTTGGAAAAGCACGCCAGGCGTGGGCTAGGAAGATTAGTTCGTTTCCCTTTGCGTTCGAGAAAAGAAGAAAAGACGCCTGAACGGAGCGTGAGGAGCAACTCCGTTTTGCATGTGTGGGTTATTCAGGCATTCCACATTCGACTGTACTTGCTTCGCACGCTGCGGGATGCCCACATCTGCTGCTGCAAGAAAACTTATTTTTTCGCATGACGTCCGCCGACTTGCCACGAATGCTTGAGGGTTTGGGGCTTCGCATCCTTGCAGGGTTGATAAAACATTGTGGCGAAACGTTTTCCGAGTGCATCTGGCCCTTGAAATCTGAGTTGCTGCATGCTCAGCCACGTGAGGAAAAGCGCACCAGATCGCAGTGCGAACAGTACTTGGGCTTTTCTGGACTTATGTTCATTGTGACCATTTGTGACCTGGCAACTGGGCTACTTGCCGAAGTGGGCTGTCGTTGGCCTGGCTACTGTGTCTGGTGGCTACTTGAGACTCGCACCTTGGCTCGGTGCTCCGCGGAGGGGCGATGACGTTTGCGGAGCCTCCTCTGAGATGCCGGCACGGCTCTGCCGCGAGCAGGTGCCAACACAACCACAAAGAACCAATCACCTCAACAATAACCATAACAAACAATTGCACAGCAGCATCAACAAGAACAAGACAACACAACAAGAACAATATAACACACGTGGCATGTGGGGGTATGTGATGGTATATGCATGCCCCGCGGACTCTGCCAGGAAACCAATTTACCGCCACCCAGCTGGATCACCTCTGCGTTCGCGGCAGCGTTCGCTTCCGGCACAGGCAAGACCTGCCATACTGCATGGGCAAGAAGCTTTGTCTTGGCTTTGTCTTTTTGCCTGGGGCAGATCTGTGGCGAGGCCTCAGGTCAGCTTGACAGGCGTGATTGAACCTTGCTGCTTGACATCCATCAGCACATATCAGCACCCAAAAGCGTCGAAGCCACAGTCGTGACCCACACAGCTGAGACCTCAATTCCACCATCGGTATTGAGACAGTTTCCGGAAAACTCCAGGTTCCGATTCCAGATGACAAATTGCAAGTTCTGCTTCACGAGTCGCGCAAGGAGCAGTATTCTATGGGATGCTTTCCCGCGTGTTTTTAGATGTCCCTTTCGCTCTTGAAGTTCATTTTGACTATTTTTACTAAGAACTCAGAGTGGCAAACGCTCGGCAGCGCCAGCCCCGCGCCAAGCTCCTTCATTGATTCATCTCGCATTGTCAACATTCTCAATCGACTCGATTGGCTTTCAAGGCTTTCAGTTGCAACCGCTGCATTTGTCACTTCTTATTCTTAGATGCGACACAGCGAAATTTCTTTGCAGAGCTGGTGTCGTGGGACCTCGACCACATTGCGAAACAGATCGAGCTGCGATCGAACTTTGTTCACGGCGACTCTGCTTTTCAGATGTTCGGGGCTTTGATTTGGCCTCCTAGTGGTTTCCTATTGTTGATCCCGTGTTGGCAAAGATGGCCTTCGTCTATCTCTTGCCCTTCCAATAATTCTTTTCTATACATATATATATATATATACATACGTGTGTGCCTCTAGTGTCGCTTGTGCCTATCTCCGCAAAGTACCACTCTAGATGAACATGCAGCCACATACTGTATAGTATCTGTTCACGGCATCACCCCGCAGAATGGATCAGAAGTTGGGAACTAGACGAACTAGATCCCTGTACCGGCCAAACTGGATACGGCTCGTTTCTTTAGGTGTGTTTTCTATAATGGAATGTCGACAGCGGGCGCCTGTAAGCAGAGGTTACGGAACAAACATCAGGGGGCTGTCCAGGACGCGCGTGGACTCGGAGAGCAGTGCAGCCAGTTCCTGTTGCGAAGGGAGCGATTGCAGATGAAATTCGCCTTGTGCCAAAATACCTTCTCCCAGCTTCTGCCTGTCCAAGAACCAGTGGTCTCAGAAGAAGCTCGGCCTCGCAGCAGTGTTGTGCAATGCTCTGACCGCACGTTACAGCCGATGCCAATTGAAATCTGCACACACACATGACTCTCACACATGACACTCACAAGTTGAGACACTCAAATATGCTTTCAGCGCCACCAGCAGTCTGCCCGCCGGCCAGAGGTTGCCTGCGAGGCCATATCTGCCCATGCCTGGCGCTGAAACCTGCTCGGAACGGGTGCTTTACGCATGTGGAGTTGAACAGTTGATAGATGCCAGAAGCCTCCATCACCATCGTGATGCTTAGCGGGAGCTCCTGGCTCACGCAGGAAAGCTTCAGTCGCCGCTCCTCCGGGAAAAGCCAGGCGTTTTACATTCACTGCAGTACGGCAGTATGGAGCAGTCGCACAACGGTCCTGAAGTTGTGCTCCTTCATCCTTGGTCTCCATTCCGTCCGAGTGACCAACCTCATCTAATGCCACTTACCCAACTTAAGCCTCACATTTCAATTGTGCTACTTCTTGTGGCGTGCTCAATTGCGTCCGTTCATGTCCGTTCGCCCGGTTTGGGACGTTGTCACAGGTTATGTCAGGTTCAATGTCTGAGTGACAATTTCCCAACGAGCACAAAAAGCTTGATGACCTTCCCCACGACCATTGGCAGCATTGCAGTCACCACACTGACATTGGCCTCCTCGATGTCAATCACCAATTGTTCACGATTAGTATTTGCAGGATGTAAGTACCGTCAACCTGCATTAAACATGGCAGTCAATCACATGCTTGGAATCTGTACAACCTACTGGGCTTCGAACCCCAGTTCTCAACGTCAAGAACCAACATATCACCATCGACACCCGACTGCAGCGGCCAACAACAAATTCCTTTCAATTTGTTTTTTTCGCAAATATCCTCAGTGAGGAAATTGTGAGAAAAAAAACTGAACTCCCCCAAGAACTCTCACGACGATGAGGCGTGGCAACAACGCACTTTAGGCCACGTTCGATCGCTAAGCCGCATCCAGCTCATCAGGCTGCCGCTTCTTGCCTCTTGCAGGCGTCAGCGCCTCTTGTTCTTGAAGTCCCCCTTTTGCTTGAGATGAGTACTCCAGTGAGCCATCGCACATCGCTCCCTGCTGGCCATGCGTGACCGGAAATGTAGTCACATACTGTAAATTGCATGTGCACATACGCTACGAAAAGCGTGGGCTAGTTTGTGGTACAGGTGTGCTGACTCGAAACACCAAGTGCGATGTTCTCAAGCTTCTTGCGGCTGCTTATTGGATTTCCTGCATACTGAATCGGCACGATCACTCTCACCAGGACAGAGCAGGTGGACCCGCAACAGGCTTGCTCTGAGGAAAGTCTGCAGGCTTGTGTGCCCTTTTGGATCTGCCGGTCGCCTGGACACACTGCTTCCTGCATGACCTGATGCCAATTAGATTCCACCGTGCCCTGTACACAAATCACCAAGCTGGGTGGAAGCACTGTCGACTCTGTACTGCGGAACGCATGGCCAATCTTCGTCGTGAGCAGCATTTAGCACACTAGGCGCTGCCGTTAAAGCTCGCCGCCATGGACAAACAGCTCTCCTTACACCAGCAGAAGCACAATCGCGCCATGGGCTTGTCACACTAAGCTGCAACCGAACGAAAGCCCGTCAATTCACTGCACATGAGACTAGTCACGTGCAGACTCCGCAAATTCAACCAATGGCATCACCTGGGCAGCTCAAAACAGCAAGAGCAAGCACGAACAAGAAAGAGGCTCTGACAATCACGGCGTTCGCATCCTACGCTGGCTGTAGGACCCTGTAGGAGCCAGGCGAAATTTGGGAGAACCCCATGTCCAGCAATCTTTGCTTCGATCCACTGAACGTCATGCCTCCGTCTCGCGGAGTTGGTGTCAGTTTTACAAGATTTAAGCTCAACCTTGGTTAGCATGCTTTGACATGTTTCGAGCGCAGTTTGTGAGCGCATGCTTGGGGCCAGCACCCAACCGCTGCTACTTCAAGTCGTTTCTTGGCAGCAGCGAAGTCAATGACCTGAGCCACTACTGAGGCCTACGGCCTCTCGAAACTGGCACTCTTCTGCCAGCCGCACCTCACCATCTTCTGTCATGAGGCTGTTCGTCAAGGCGACAGCCACCTCGGACCATTCCATGCAATCTGCCAGACTTTGTTTCTGCACGCGCCGCTAGACCTAGCAGCCCCAACATGCCATGCAGCATGCAGCCCGTCGCGCTTTTCACAACAGTCTGGCTCGTGGCAGTCATGGTATCATGACGCGCACTGGACCTGGGAAACAGGACCGTCGGAGTGGCTGCTGCGATGTTACAAGCCTTCAGGGAGCTCGAAGACCGTTCATACGGCTCTCGTCTTTGGAGCTCCGTGTTAAATAGGGATCCTTGGCAGGTCTGTGCAAACCTGGGCCATAGCGAAGTAATGTGGCTCGGAACCAACGCTTTCGACTTGGGAATCTTAAGACTAAAGAGCCCCAAGTCGCAGCTGGCTCAGGCGCCCGACATCTCACAAAAACCCCTGAAGATCTTTCGCACGCTGCCCTCTTCGAAGAAGAAGTACCGGCAAAAGAAGCACGTGGGCCACGTTGCTCTCCTGCCAAACCAAGGAGCCAGAGCGCAACTCTTCTAGCAGTGCAAGGCTGATGTCTGCACATTCGTTCAAGCCGCTCCACGGCTCCACATACACAAGGTTTCCGAGAGCTCGTACACCACTTAGCTCTAAGCGCCTTCGCCAGCACATCATTCTGGTGACAATCGCCTGGCAGCATGTTTGGCGTGCCAAATCCGAATCTCTGGAGCTCAACGCACGAATTAACATCGGGCTCTGGTGTTCATGTTTCCACCATGTTTACGGCGTTAGACCTATAGATACCGTAGATTTCGTCAGAACTGGCTTGGCCCGAAGTGCCGAAGACATGCACTGAGCTTGCAAGGCAAGCAGCATGGTGGGTCCATAGCCGTTGCATCCACCAGACTCGGGGAGCAATGCCTGAGTGGTACATTGCGGGAGACAAGAACTTTCCCAAGCAGACAGGACCCTGACGACCTTGAACCGGAGAGGGGGCCGGGGGCCAGGACTGTGAAGGGGAAGGAGCGTTGTAAACTTCGACGACAACTGTTTTCGCTGTAACGGGGAGATGCGAAACTTCATGTACAGCAGCACATCTAAACTTTCTTCCATATACACATTTATACGATATTCGATTATGAATATTGCATATGTGTGTATGCAAGACCTCTCTCTGCACCCGCTTAACATTAACATGTAGCCGCCAAGAGACAGCTGACCGTTTACCTTGCAGCAGTGATATCGCCGCTCTTTGATAACGTGGCCGTCGCATTGGAAGGACATGTAGCCCCTGCGGCAGAGCAGCACAAAATGAGCATCCTTGAAGCCAGCGGTGTCTCACGAGCGCATGCGGCACCCTACATTATCCACATTACAGTAGCGGACCTAGCTCGCGTGGCTGACTGAGTCACAGGCCTGCCCTGCACCGGAACAGTGCCAGTGGGGCACAGTTCTGCCTTGTGCGACTCATTCTCCTAAGCATGGTTTTCCGCGCCGCAGAACTTGACACGATACATACATGCTCCTGCGACAATAGGCTGAACTTCACCAGTCCTTGCCCTCCTGCACCCAGGTGATGAGCGTGGCCCTGTCTCCACGGCCTTGTCCCATCGTCTTGGGGGGCTGCAGTTGCAAAGCACCGATTGCAGACGAACATGTTAGAGTCTACAGAGGCGCTTCATGACAACGCGTTTAATGTTCAATCTTGGCGGCAGATGGCTTGAGTTACACGTTGCCAGTCTTCATCCTGCAGCATCCCAGAGCTGGCGGGTAGAATTCGAACCACGTGAACAAGACTGCTATATTGGATGCGCTGAGGTTTGATGAAGTGACGCGTTGCAATTGCGCTGTCCTTCTTGACGGCCTGGAAGCCTACCGCCGTGGGGACCTTGTCCTTACCGCGTGCAAGTGGCTGCAGCGCACGGCTCCCACGATCAACATCGGTCAACTACCAGAAACTACCATTACAGCGAAGGCACGCCCCGGCCGGCAGCCGCCAGGGTGTCGAGCTGCTCCTGGACGGGTGGACCATCAGATCATCTCATGCCAAACTCCGCCGTCAAGTCCCACCCGAAGGCTCAAGTCGCGACACTCCCCCAGCAATCCCCAGCAAAAGATGAACTGAAGCTTTGTTGTCTAATGCACATGCAACGAAATGTAGCCATATGTCGCCATGTAGCCCTTTGTCAAATGCATGGGTTTGGCGTCTACCCATTAACATGCCCCCATTGCCTCTATATACGTTGCAAATGGACTGGCCTCGCTTTTCATTCCTCCCCATCGCACAAGAACAAGGCCCTTCCTTTCAGCCCCTTTGCCTACAGCCGTGTACGGCTGCCGGGCATGGTTGTTTTATGTTGTTCCTACCCCAGCGCCCTCCACGCCGAACGCACAACTTATGCGAGGCCAGTCTAGAACGCAAAAAGTCCGCACGGGAGCGGAAGAGATGGGTTGGGCATGTCACTCGGTGTCGCTCCTTCTCCCCTGCTGTGCCTCATATGATGTCATATGATGTCATATGCCTCATATGCAAGTCTAACAGGAACCGTGCCTGCGAGGCGTTGGCGGCAGGGCCTCGCACGAACCTCACGTGGCTCTTTGAAGTCCAAAGTACTCGCCAACAGGGGTGACGTAAGCAGGCCCAGCGGCTTGATTTGCTGGCTGTTCTCATTGAAGTTTGCCAGAATGTCTCCACATATTTGTGGCTTCCTCATGGGACGACATTTGTGATTTCCACCGAGACCCCCACCCCCAACCTAATTTGGGGAGGGGTGGGTCGAAACCCTCGAAGCCCGAAGCTTTTTTAGGGCTTACGGCTTGACACTTCTCGAGGTAAAAACGGATTACCCAAACGGACCTGCTAAAAGCGAATCGTAAAGCGAACGGGGCCAGCCCATGGGCTGTCACGAATTTGTGGGCTTTCCAGCCTTCTGCCTTCCTGGGCTGAAGCCACAGACCCGTAAAACTTTGCAACCTGCAGGGCCTCAAGGCCTCAAGAAAAGTTCCTATAAAGGGCCTCAGAGCGCAGCTGAAATGAAACAAATCCCAAACAAAACTAGGGCTCACTGCGGGTGGCTCCAGTAAACCGGGTGTAACATTTCGATAAAGAGATAGAAAAGTGGAGATGACGGAGCTATATCATTCACGCTGATCTGAGAAATTTGAGGACTTCAGCGAAGCTTCTTAGCCACGACCGTCGAGCCGTTCAGGTCGATGCGAGGATTGTTGCAGCAGAACCTGCCCGGCCAAGACCGCAAAGGTGTGCCATCATCGCACGTGCCATCATCGCACGTGCCACACAAACCCTGAAAAAGCAGCTGCAAATCCTTAGCTGTAGGGGTCTGGCTTCGGCGACTCCGTGAAGAAATACGAGCCTGAGGGGCAACTGCATGTCCAACTCTTGGCGCTGAATGCACACGCAATACATCCCCATCAAGTCGTCACAGCTTCGCAAGTGCCTGCCTGTGTCACACTGTAGGTGGCCTCCGGTGGGCCCCAAACCTCCTCCAACAAGTGCTGGCGCATAGCACATGGAATAGTGATCCTGAGCTGCAAGAAGTTACCAGAACTTTTATCCTGTCAATCATGGTGAACCGGTCACAAGCCTGTAGCAACATGAAAATGCCAAACACGCTGGACTTACAGCAGCAAACCGATGAACAAAAACAACGATGCTGAGGCCAGCAAGGTGGCGCTACCATCTGCACCTGACAGGCAGGCAAATAAGTAGAATTTCATGACACAGGGAACCAGGAGTGTACTGAGAAAATCCCGAGCGAAGACAACTTCTTGTAAACTCCAGCCGCTCCAGCCTTTGCTCCAGAGCATGTTGCCATTGCTGGAACCTGCGCTGCTGTGTCTTCAAGACACGTATTTAAACAGCTCATCAGCTGCAGAGCTGCCAGGTCTCAAATGGCAAAATGTCCAAGTGGCATGTCGTGTGCTCTTGGAGCGACTGGCCCGGCATAGCAAGCGCAAAGTGTGGAGGGGTGCCCTCCTTTATTCAGAATTTCAACCACTTTCATCTAATCTGGGGGCTTGGTTTCAAGACGCCTCATATCACCTCGTATCTGGATAAACACGCAACCTACCTTGATGAAAAGAGCCGGTACCCGACAAGTTGTGCTGCAACTAGTCGCAAATCAGCATCCTGCCAGCCAAACAGGGATGAGCACCGAAATAATGCTGCAAGAAGAGCTCAGAAAGCTTGCTGTGTTGAGTCACGCGTGCCAAGGCCAGCAGGCTGAAATATACTCTAGGGATTCGGGATGCTGTCGAGATCGAGGCTGCTGCTCGACCCTGGATGTTCTGCAGCAGCGGACGGAGACTTAGCTCCTCGCCTCACGCTTCGGATCGGATCAGCTTCCGAACTTCAGCAGTCATCTTGTGAGACTACATGCAGTGAAACACAGTCTTCTCATTGTAAAGCATGCGGCTGCAGAAGATTTTGCAGTTGTAGTTGTAGTCCGCACGGGGTCACCGGGGCGCAACAGATTATAGACTCGGCAAAGGACTCGAATCCCTTGCCCCACCCGAGCCCACATGACTCTCTTCGCCTGTCTTCTATGACCGACTGGGCTCATTTCAGAGCTGACAAGCCCGAGGATGACCTCGCTGCAGGCATGGGGGCCACCAAGTCTCCAGCTGCGCTGCTGAAAGGAGCCTTCCCCCACAGAGGGGCCGAGGCGGACACGCGAACGTTCGATTTCGTCCCTTTGCACGGCACTGGCCTATTAACGGAGACACCATGGCAACCGCCTTGAGTGCCGGCAAGTTCGAAGTCATTTAATGCTGCCTGCTGGGACTGCTGCATGCCATCGCGACATGTAAAAAGATAAAGTCCGTAGGGACCCGGCTACGACATCGTCCAGTGCAGCCACCTTCCAGAATTGAGATGAACATGTTGTAGGAGGCCACTGAGAACATCTGAGCACAGACCCCTGTCAGTCAAGACCGGGAGACCTCTGCTGCCATGCCAGCACCCCAGGAGGCGCCCATCACAATGGCCTTCGGCCTGAGCCAAGTTCTCGGAATTGGATGGAAATGGTGTAAGGGGGAGACCCCAGTACAGTACCCTTCTTTTGCTTACAGTATACAGCTCTTGAAGTTGTAAACAAACAATTTGTTTTAACAAACGCTCTGGTAATTACGGACAGCGCTCCACCCGGGCCCTGGCCTGATCACGGAATGATACCGTGCAGGAATCATGCGATTCCGCGAGCACAGCCTCAAATAGCAACGCACGTTTCAGAAATTACGCGCAAGTTGAATGAACCTCACCAGTCAGATGCGCGCGTTCGCGCAAACAACTCTCGAAGCACCTGCTCGCAGCACACTGGACACGTGCACCGCGCAGCCATGGGTGATGAAAGCGATGCTACACTGATCTACAGCTATACGAGACTGGAGCAAAAATGAATTCAGAAACGTCGTAGTAAGGGGAGGTATGCCGAGCCTCGCCCGTCAACTTCCCAGGGCGCAGCGCTTCTGGAGCCGAGTGCAAGTCCGGAATCTGCGCAGAGCACAAAAAGCCGATATGGGAATATGGCCAAAAGGCTGAGGGCTGGGATTCAACGGAGCATCAGTGGAGCGCTGGTCCCACCAGGACGTGGAAAGAAGCAGAGGCCAGCTGCCGCGCCACGTCATTCCACTCATTGCGCGCCGATCTGGGATGCAAGAGGATGCAAAAGGATGCAAAAGGATGCAAAAGGATGCAAAAGGATGCAAAGGGATGCAAAGGGATGCGAGATGCACTCGCAACCTTGGGAGGTTGTTAGGGCCTCGGCTCTGTGTCCGGCCTTTGCATCGAAAGACACTTGGCGTATGGCGTCATCGCAGTCGCATTGGAGCTTAGCTGATCTTAGCTCCGGGCTTGTCATGGATGAGAACCTCAAGAGATGCTCTGAAGGGGTTTCGAGACGGGAGTTCACAGGCCACGGGATGCCATGTGAGCCTAGGGCCTTAACATCGGAATCCTACCGTCTATCTACCGACCGTCTGCAGAGCACATTCCAGCTGCGGCTCCTTTTTCTGCCCCGGCACCGAGGCTATCATTTGTGTGAGAGGCCGCGCTTGCACCAGGCTTGCCATGGGCTGCCCCTTGCGAGCTGATCAGCTCGCAGCAGCTGGGACTTCTGCTGCACTCTTCTTAAGTTCACGATCTGACTTTCCTTCTGGTGTCGTCGGGGGCGACTCGTCAAGAGCTCCGCTGCCCCCGCATCGCTCGTCAAATCCCCAGGTGGAAGGGAAGAACAACTCGAATCCACGAGCGATGAGTCGAATCATGGCCAATCCTCTTCGCCAGGCTGTCCTCAGCATCTCTCAGCTTCAGCTGCGTGCCCACACGAGTGTTACGTTTTTTGGACTAAGCGCGGGCCTGACCAAAAAGAGTGCAAGTATAGTTCAAAGCAAGGGGCTGAGATACCACATTGGCACATTCTCTCGGTGAATGGAGTTCCCCGAAGGATCCTCTCTCCATGACGTCACGATGCAAAGCACTCTTATGGCAACGCTACAGTTCTACACATCGGTGCCCCGCCTTGACGTTGATGTGATACATGCTGGGCCAGTCTGCATTGCTAGCAATCTCAGCTGGCAGCCAGCACCCAAAGAATTGTCCAGGCCTCACTTGGCTTGTACTACTTGTACATACCATTATACGCGACAACTCCGAAGCAGACCAGACGAAGCATACAAAAGGAACATTAAGCAACACGAGGAAGGTGGCCAGGGATAGCACTTACTGCACTCGTGATCACGACTACTACAGTACTGTAGTATACTATGAACATGTTTTCCCACGTCCTTGCCAAGGCGGCATCTCATGACTGGCCTCTTGCTTCTTTACTCTGTTCATTCCTGTTCTGCTGCCTCGAAGCGGCTCAGCCACCAGAACCTCCAGTTGTTCCTTAGATGACTCTCAACTTTCAACCTTGGGACTGCTGCCGTCTTTCCCAGTTCGAAGCACAAGCTCCACGACCATTTGCCATCATGGCACACCGACAGTGAAATTGCGCTGGCTTTGGAGCACTGGGCCTGAAGGACATGTTTTCCACTGCTTGGACACACCATGCGACTTTGCTACGGGCATAGCGCTGCATACTCCGTGACGAACTTGGTTGACATGCCCTTCATCTGCCCGATGCTCCAATGGGTGGAATGGAACATGAACAATCCATTGCCGCCAACAATGACGGAGTGACGGAGTGACATGGGATGGCCGCGCCCCCGGTTTGCAACCAAGTTGCGAAGGGTGGGCTCCACAGCCTCCACCCACCTGAGGCTAGAAGTGGAGTTGCATCAAACACTCGGGCCACTCGGGCACGAACCTATACACCATGTTTATCATTCCCGCATCTAAACTCTAGGACTCTAGGATGCTTAGCCAACCTTCACTCAAGTTACAAGCTAGGCAAGAAAGTGGGAACTCTGCCGCCGTGGTGCAGTGACTCTTCGGCATGAACTTCTAAGCCAGCAGCACTCGGTGACCTCGGTTGGCATCCTCTTGCGAACTTGCGGTCATGTCCAGACCTGGTTTGGGATGTTGGTTTCTTTGCTCGCGGCACATGCTGGTACCTGGCCGCACTAATATTTTTCAGGATTTGCCTATTGCCTCGGCCCCTTCATTGAAGTCGCACAAATGCCTCCGAGCTACGCGAGCGGAGGCGCAATACGCTGTGGACATAGTCGGAGCCAATAACCCTTCCAGGGTTGTACACGTGCACAGCTCGTGTCATATGCACCAAGCGATTGGCGCACATGCACCAAATTGGGAGTCCAAAAAGCATTTTGGACTCCACAACGGTCCAACGCCTGAGGAACACCAGAAGTTCCCAGCCTCTCGCCGGGCCAAAAAGCGCATCCCCAGCCGCAAAAAGCCAGTGGGCATGTGCTCTTTTCCAGGGCCCTCGCCAGACTTGTTTTGTGGGCGACTGTGATGCCAGAAGAACTGCAAGGAAAGTACTTTTCTAGAACTTTTCACGTCCAGAATTGTCCACAATCCGTCAAGTCCATCTCTCCAGCCTTTCGAATCAAGGCCTCTTGGCTGGCCACTGCATACCTAGACGAAGGGCGTCGTAGGGCGACGACATCAGAGGCAAATCCAGCAAATGCAGTCAGGAGGCATCCGCTCTGTTCCTGGAACACAGCTCACATTGAACTGCTGCTGCGTTTAGCAGCAGTTTGTCACATTGAGTTGGCATAATTGCTAGTGAGATACCAGTACAGACCCGGCCTGATGCTGGTCCCAGCAAGCGAGGCGCTGTAAACTCCTGGCAGCACCGAGAGGCAATGAGGACTATGTACGTGCAGTTCATGCCTTGCTGAGAATACTCAGGGATGGCTCGATTTGGTTTGTGTTTGCAGCTGCTGTCTTTTTCGTGTCAACACATGCCCATTGACAAAGGTGTCTTGGGAGTTGCGCCGAACCTTGGTGCGTGAGTTTAACCTTGCAAGGTGTACAGTATGAGACAACCTGTTCAGTATGCCATGCTTCCCGAGCCTCGAGCTCCTTCCCTGCAAGGAACCGCTCCCGATCAGCCATGGCCAAGCAAAGGCAAGCAACATCAAATACTTCTTTGAGTGTCACTATTTCTGTGAGGCTCTTGACGCTTGCGTAGATCCAAACTTCCATCACCACCACAGACAAGGTGTCTAACTTGCCGAAAGCACAAGGAGAAGTGACGTCTGCGGTTGGAGCCTACGCTTGCAGGTGTAAGTCCTCATTGACCACTTAGGCTCTCACCACAAATGGGCCCTCGGGAAATCCAATCTCACGCACGCGAAGCGGTCCAAACCTCGTCTCTCAATTAGACGTCATATGTCACATGTCATATGATGCGCACAAAAACAAGACCTAAGCAGGACCTTGTAACGCCTGACATACCATGACTCATGCCACACACTGCCACACACTGTGCGCATCTGCACTCCGTGGCCGATGCTCAGTTTCAATCGCCTCCCAGGGCCTTGGAGTTCGACCCTCCAATTTCACATGACGAGATCAAAAAAGAAGGGCTTAAACGAAAGGGTATTTCTATGAATGTCTGTGCAGCAATATTGCTTATAGCGAGTTTGCGTTTGAGTTGCGGCGGCGCGTCGGATGCACTTGAGCTCACTGCCACCTTAGGGAGTGACGGTCAACACACGTCTTTGATCGCAGCACATCGCAGCACAGGCTCAATTTCAGCTGGGAAGCGGCAAAGCATATGCACTGCCAGAGCGAAGATGGAAAGCCCATGGCAGCCATGCTTTTTTTGCATTTGTCAAGTTATGCTGATTTATCGGTGTGGGGGTCTGGATCGCCGTGCAGGAGTTTCCTTCGAGATTGGCTATGCAAGGCCAATTTTGCCTGCATGTTTACCAAGTCACGAGATGATGATGCAACTGTTGGGCCTGCAATGTACAAAAGTAATGAGCGTGCGTGCATCTTCGTAACATGATGTTCTGGGAAGTGAAGATCACACATATCACCCGAATGCTGTTCATCAGATTCCATGAGCCAGGAACATGCCGATGCATGTTGCCCGAAATTCGTCACTAGGTGCTAACTGCCTCTGACTGCAAGGAGCCTATCGGCCTAATGGTTCCATGCCAGCCTGCGCTGGGTGAGGATGCTGTGGAAGGTGGCTTGGAATAACCTTGGCCCAATGCTTACTATGGTAATCATCTGGCCTGTTCCAGAAACACTAGGGGGTGAGGATGGCTTGCGCGCACAATGCCCGCATCATCCACAATATCCCAGAGCCAACATGCAAGGTGAAGACGAGAACCAGGCCTCTTTCAGAAGGAGCCTGAGCGAACAAAGCATTTTGTGATGATAGAGATGGTGAGGGAGGCTTAATCGTCTCCACCGTTGCCAAAGTGCCGCTGGCCTCAGCCCGCGCACTCGGGACACCCGCAGCCTTACGAGATGAAAGCGAATGCTCACACCAGCTCCGATTGTCAGAATTGTCTTTGGGCTTCGCACCGCAAAGGGTCGAAACTTGGGCATCCTGGACGTGAGGCAACGGCAGGGTAAGAGGCGGCCATGCTCGCTCCTAAGCCCGAGGCGTGGTGCGGCGCGTAGCTTGTGCACCAGCCTGGGATGGACCTTCATCATTGGGGGGGGGGGAGGGGGCAGAGATAACAAGCAATGCGCATCTGCTTGCCTGAAGCGTGGCTGGCCATGTTCCGATGGATGAAGTCCCATTCGCTCTCGCTGCCTTGCAAAAACGATATGATCGGGAATTCAGCGCGTTGCAAGACTGTCTTGGAGACTTGGAGATACTTGGTGCGTCGGAACCTTCACTCTCTGTAGATTCCAGGTCGTCATCGCTGTCGAGGAACCTCATCGTAAAGGCACCAGGTGGCACCAGGTACCGGTGATTGAGTAGGACTCGAGAACAGATATTGAGGCCCCAACGCAGCATCCGCGAAGTCCTCAGTGGCACCTTCAACAAAAGTGCCGGCCCATATGGCATTCGTACCACGGGCCTGACTTATGGACCCGCGAGCATCATCCAGAAATCAATCACGGTTTCAAGCAGGCGCATATACAATGGCGAGCACCCCGGTTTGATCGGTTTTGTTTACGCAGTTTACATGCAGCTGCGAAAGCAGGAATCAAACAGCCACGCAGCGCCAAAAAAAAACATCAGCCTCTCCACAGGTGTGCTTGGCAGCGTGGTCGCCAAAACCCTTGGTGCACAAAGACTGACTGCAACCCCCAGCACGTAGCACATCCAAAGGTGACTGGTCGAGGCACCTTTGCCGGGCTCGTCTCGGGCAGGCCGCTGCGCCTGCCATGGTCAGCTTTGCTGAGCAACGAGGGAAAGGGGAAAGCAAACCCACAACACCTGTAACGAGGAGGCACCTGTGCCGCTTGCGCTTGCGCGGTGGGCACCTTCGAACCTTAGAAAGGCACCGCCAGTCTAGATAACTCTGGTACTTGGGCTCTGCGCTTCATTGAATGCTCCGCTCTGCACCGTTCACGGGTGGTGCAAGAATGATGAAGCAGCTTGCTTTGCAACTCTGCTGCCAGCCTTGTTTGGATTAGAACCCCAAGAATTTTCGGAAGGGCCGTAAAGTGAGAATGAAGCAAAGCCTAGAAAGACAGAACCACGTACTTAGATTCGTTCTAGTATCTCGTGATATGCGCTGGGCTCATTTTGACCAGGCAGTGTGCAGTTGATAAGCTTGCAGCCTACACGTGTGTGCCAAAAGGGGCCAAGCTTTCTTAGCTCTCGACCGTGCAGGCGGGCGCTTACTTTGCCGCCGGTGCCTGCTTGTCCTTTAAGCCGCACATGATACAGTAATGCAACATGCAGCAAACAATGGCTCCCCTCTCTCTTCCACGCGGCGTTGTTGCTCAGATATTACCCCAATCGGCACGACTCCCGCTCAATGCACGGTGAGTGCATAGGCTTCGTTGCAATTATGAGCCTGACTTCTAGTGAATTCAAAGGTGCAGCGTTCCGCAAACGCCATCTCGACCTCGCAGGGACTGTGCGCGGAGGGCATCCAGCTGTGAGAGCGTGGCCCGAGCCTTTCAACATCTGGCATCAAGCTTCAAGGATAGCGTTAAAGTAACAGGAGTAGCACTATGACGCTGTCTGAGTGCAAAGCATGCGCCAACAGCTCGTCTAAAGCATCGTTGACATCCTTGGCTGTACCCTGCGTCTGGTTTAATCCCTCTGCCCTTTCTGAAAAGACGGAATCATGAGCTTGCTAGCAAGTCATTCTTCAGCGACGCAAGAGGATTTTTTTGGAGCGGCGTGGGAAGTCGATTTTCTGTAGATCTTCAATCGCTTCGGTATAGTCATCAAGGCCGCGGCTGTGGTGTGAGGGAAGCTTGAACCCTTGCCAGGGGAAGGCCTGTCGATGGCTGGACCGGAGTTTGAACACCATTCATTCAAATTTCGCAGAAGCATTCCTGAGATTCCCTGAGCCAGCAGCTGTCTGGCCTTCCTTTCAGCAGAAGGGCACCGGCCTTGCAACATGAGCCAACACCGACAGTACTGCACCACAGTATCTAACACCACGGGGGGGGGGGGGCGGGGGGAAGGGCTTAGGCGTGGGAAGATGCGGCAGGCAATCTGACCACAGCTGGGCTTCGCGCTTGTGCCAGTGCTTCCGACAGAGGCACCTATGGCAGCTTTTTGCTGCTTATGCACGCCTCCCGTCTTTAGCACTCTAAACAATCTATCATTCTTTGTGCTTCTGGATGCTTCTGGTACAAGTTTGGCACACGCATGTGAGCTGCGGTCGAATTGCTTGTGAAGGAACTGGATTTGGGGCTTATCGATGTCTGCGTATCCCCTATCATTCTGCAGGACAAGGTCTGCTTCTCATGGAAGATAAGATCGCCTAGATCATTGGTTTTTTTGAGGTTCCCGTGTTCTACCTTGCAACTGTAAAGTATCAGCCCCACCTGCTCACGGGTCCCCTATCGTTCTGTTGATCAGAAGCATACCAAGCGCAAAGTGACGTCCATCGCGTACTATCTACTCTCCAGAAAGTTGAACATATTCCCAGATCCCGTCCTGACAAAAGACAGGGTGGGGGGCGGGGTGGGGATGGTGGTTGGGGAGGGGGGGGGGGGGGGTTGAGGGTTGGGGGGGGGTTGAGGGTTGGGGGGGGTGGTGGTTAACCAGCTGGTTTCGCGACACACCAGTAAAAACTCACAGCGCACATGACCCAGCATGATCCACAGTTCGAGTCAGCAAGGCTGAACAGACCAGCTCCCCTGTCGAACCAGACACGCGACGCGTGAGAGACACAACATCCTGCCTGCACCCTGTACACCTCCGAATCGCAGCCTGCACAGTGCAACGACCGCAGGTTGCAAACCATTGGGTTGCTGGACAACCCTTTGCCACGAAGCAAGAGTCCATACATCATGCGGGCAAAGCTCCTCTTGCATCGTGCAAGGTCTGGGGCACTGATCTGACTGCTGGAAAAACAGTTTTGAGTCCTGCAGAGTCCTAAAAAGAGCTCCCGGACTTGTGCACGAAGACTTTAAGTGCCCAAAGATCAGCTCCTGAACATGTTAATGTTGGACCCTCTTTAGTGTGTTGGGCCCCCCCCCCCCCCCCCCTGAACAGTTGAGGCGTGGATGGGAGCCTGATTACACGGCCCCGGGGGCTTATATGATTTCAATAGGGAAGAGTTTAGATAGGTTTAAAAGGGGCAGCGATGCCCAGTTATCTGTTTTAAAGGCGCGCCACGTGGAATTTTCTTACGGCGCCCGGACGGTTTGACTTTAAAGGAGACCCCGCAAACAGTCAGGGGGTCCTGAATAATTTGGCCAAATTGACTTTAAAGGGGAGGCCCCTACTAAAGCGGGTCTAACATTAACCTTCCAAACAGAGTTTAGCAACAGAGGTCAACAAACACCCACCTGTAAGAAACAAAAACCCTAATCCTCTGTGGTTGTGGCGTTACGCCTTTGCGGCCGACAGCTGGACGAGTCTACCACCACGACAGCGCCCAACGGCAACTGAAACCACGACTGCTCGCTCTCGCTGCCACTGCCGTTCCCCTTCGTGCCAAGAACACAAAATACTCGTCCCACAACTGGCCGATCTGGCCCCCCTCGTCCAGCCTCGTCCCGCCGTGCTGGGCAAACCTGGGTGATGGCACTGCATTAGCTGAGGGCCCAAGTGCATTGCCACTTCTTCCCCCTTCTTAGTTCGAATTTCTGGGGAGAGTTCGGGGTTGCTCGGCCTGACCTCAGAGGGCCCTCTTCTTCACCAGGCTATCCCAAGAAAATCGTCCACTGCAAAAACTGATAAGCCCCCCAGTTGTAACCGCTGCCCCATTGGCGCAGCATCATTTGTCGCCCTACAATAGCAACTACTCGATACGATTCACTATCCTGTGGCGTTCCATGCGGCGTTCTCAAGCAGAGTTGGCTTCGCGGAAGCCAAGAGTAGACTGGCAGCGACAACATTTTAAGTTGATGCTGCTCGTTGCCGTGGTGCGCAGAAAGGACGTCTCTGATGTGAAGAAGTGCACCCAGTAGGGGCACATATCACATATCTTAAGCGACCAAGTCGAAGGTGTTCTTAGTTCCTCTGGATGTGTGAGTATGTCCCCTTTTGAGTCAATTGTAACCTGTAACCTCTGTATCAATGGGATTACGCCTGCCCCACACAACGCTTCTTCGACCCTGAAACATCAGGAAACTGGACGGTACTCACACCAATTGCCAAGTGCTCGAGCCAATTACCACGGCGATGGTCCAAAGGTGGACGGCCAGAGGTCATCGAGACCTGCTCAAAATCATATGCACTCATCAAGCTTTAGCGCTTTAGCATATTAGTCTGTTCCGATGCGCTCTTGCTAGGGTTTCCCTCTGTTGTGTTTTTGGCGGATGTATTGGGCATCTCTCGTCATGCCGCGTCGCCTCTGGCAGCTTGTAGTGTCAGGCTCAAGCATGGCCTCGGTCCCTAAACCCTTCAACTGATCCTTCGCTCACAACTCTCAGACCGACTTCGAAGTCAAAGCTTGGCAGCAAACTCTGCCCTGTTGGCAGTGCACATTCGAGGCCATTCCAAGCTTGAGCCGCGCCAAACCACAGAGGTGTCCAATCAGCTGGTGCCGTGCCGGATAAATCAAACTCTGCAAAACCTCAGCTGGGCTCCCTTGTTTTTGCACGTGTTGCCAACTTGCCCGCATTGTACACTCTTCGGCGCTTCGCCCTCGGTCTCGGAATGTCTACAATAGTCTCTTTGGTCCTTTATGGTGCGAAGCGGCGAGGGGTTCCCCCCACTGATCCCGTCGAGTTCAACGGGTTCAGGCTCTTATGTACAGCCATGGGGGACCTTCTGAAATCTCCTAAAATCTCCTCTGACGCTCTCGGCACCCACACGTTGCATTTGCGGAGCTACGAGAACGGTGAGACACAGACACTTATGGAGCCGCGGAAAAAACCCGTAGCATGTGCATAGAGCGCTTCGCTGTCCTAGACGTCCCAACTTACTCCGCCCCTGTTTTCGGACCCCATCCTCCGGAGGACGGCCGAGCCAATTGTCCGTCTCAAGTTAAGATTAACTTCCATCCTTTGCTGCCTTTGCTGCTCTCATCCACTCCTGGTGCTCAGAATCTTGGGTTCGTTTGTGAGAACTCACGGTCTGCTCCAGTCCTTCAGCTTCATCTTCCCCTGCCATCTCTTTTTGCAGCTGCTCCTGCTCTTTGGCCTTCTGCTGCTGCCGATCGAGAAGCCTGAACAGCATCCACTACCCAGGCTACACGACCTAAGAAGAACTCAGAGGCCAGCTGGGGACATTCTCATGTCTGTGCATTCGCAGTGTTTTTATGCAGACATCCCGATTTTGCTTCCCTACTTTTCTCTCTCCAATGTGTAAGGAGAAGCAGCCTCGGCGCACAAGGAGTTGAACGGAGTATCAAAGCACCAGTACCTGCCGTGGATCGCAACGGGGATCAACGTGATTTGACGTGCTGTTCTCTGAACGTCGGGCGTGTGGTATGGTTGTGAAGCATTCCTGCAGCGAAAGCGGAGCTGCCAACAGTTCAACCGGGAGGCCAAACGGCTGCAGTTGCTCGATCACATCCTTACATCTTGCACAATGCACAGGGCTTCCTCACACAAGCCCGGCTCTCTGCAGCACAGGTTCCGCATCAGCTATTGGGTTCTGCTCGACGTTCAACGTCTTGATTGTCGTGTTCCGAGTCCAAGTCCAGTAAGGTGTGCCTGCAGGGGTGTGGCTTGGCATAGCTGGCATAGCTAAAGATCTAAGATACCAGTCTTCGCACCCCCCACCTCCCCCCGTTGCAGTTACGAGCCTTTGTCCCTGCGTTTCGCGGAGCGAGCTACAATGGCTGAGCCAAGCTTCTCAGAGTGCTTTTGTTGCAAGCCCCTTTTGCAAAAGGACCGCCCGGAGCATGATAGCCAAATTTTCTGACCCGCTCTCACTACCTCTCACTTCACTTTGAATGCACAAGTCTGAAGCAACTCAGCGAGCGCGGATCTTCATGTGGGAAAAAAGGGGCGGAATGTGCGACTGCTACAAGCCTAATCACTTCCCCCTTTTATAAAAGACCCCCCTAATACTAAAAATACTTTCCGGAAAATCCTGCCGAAACCGAGCCCGCCTTTTAAAACCTATTCCGAATTAGGGGGGGGGGGGTTTTCAGGGCTCCTAAGACCCTGAAGCCAACGAGGGTTTAGGGTCTAATTAGGGTTAAGGGTTTAGGGTTTAGGGCTTCGGGTTCATTAAGGGTTTAGGCTTCAGACTCAAGGCTTTTCGCAGCATGATGCTGTCGGTGAGCGGCCTGTCTGGCTCCACACTTCAGTACTTGATTACTTGAGTAAATCTGGAGTCTAGAACATGGCATTTCGATAAAAACGCCCTAATTATAAAAACACATTTCGAATTTCTATTGGGGGAGGGGGGGGGGGACCCCCCGTTTAATATTAGGGGGAAACGATTACGCAGGCCACCCTACTGGGGCATGTATGGGCATAATCTGAAAAGACAGAGGCAACAGGCATCATAGCAGCATGACGTGCTGACATCAAGCCCAGCACGCGCGTGCCTGAGTCGTCCTTGAGCTCCTCGCATGTGTCCAGGTGTGGCTCCGGCCAGTAGCGCTCTCCTTGCAACTTGCTTGCATCGTGCCACATAATTGCATCGTTGACATACACAGATCTTTTTCCGGTCGTCTTTTGAAGTCATAGTCTCAGCCCGGCAATGTATAAGATGATTCAAGCCAAGAGGCGCCCGTTGCCATCCTTTGGCGGAGCCCCGAAAGCTTTCCGCTTCTTTTCTATGTCCTGGACAAGACCGGTACGACAAGTGCATGCTCCTCAAATTCTTGCAGCTCCCGCCCTCTGTGAAAACCGGCTGCTCTACGGAATGTCGCAAGAGAGCCCACAAGAGTCAGCGCGAGTTTGCGTGTCCTTCTGCTGGTCCTCAAGGACTTGGGGTTCGCAAATTCACAAGGGCATGTAGCATGTACAGGTCATGTCTTCCAAAGCTGCTCCACTGATGCTCACGTCTGTTTACACACATGTGATAGTAGGTACCAAAGCACGTTAGACACTACAGGCCCCGATGACGTAGCATGGACCTGAATGAGCCTACACTCCCCACCTTCAGGTGCTTGATGACCTTCTCGGCAGAGGCCTAGAGATGACAGATCACACTGTTCACCGTTAGACTGAAAACAGTGAAGCACTCACTTGTCCAATCACTTGTGCAGCACTTGCATTGTCCCTCAGGGCTGCCATTGGCTCTGCACTGGCCTTGTCCTCCAGCGTCCGTGTTCCAAGCACGGAGCAAAGGGCTCGAAGGCCTTCCTTGCAGGTCGGGGCGCACTGTCACATGGCTGAGCTGATGCAACTGTCTAGCTTCTTAGTGGCATCCCAATCATGCCAGGATTAAGCATCTGCTCTTCAATCCGAGCCTGAGTGACGAAGTTGCCTCAGCCCACTTGCACAACGATCGCAAATCTTGCCTGCACTCTTGGCATATTAGCTGGGCGAGTGGCGCCCAAGCCCCAGAAATTGCAGCCCGAAGTTGAACTCCAATGCCTCGGAGAATCAAACCGACATGCCCCGAGACTCCATGAGGCATCATATGGGGGTCCCTAGGAGCATCAAGTCCAAGAGGAGTCCAAGACGAGTCCAATTGACGTCCAAGGCTCCAAGGCCAAAGCCTGGGCACCACGATCGCAGATTTTATTGCCTTGGCTTCAGAGACTCAGTGAGTCTGAGGAGAAGCCGGGAAGACATGGGAAGAGAGTGAAAGAAGAAGAAGAAGAAGAAGAGCTAAGCAGACACCAAAGCCGGAGCCGCGCCCCGGAGTGTCAAGCCACCCCAAAGGTTCAGCGCGCGTAGATGTGGTGACGGACTTGCCAAGCAAGAGCTTATAGCCTGACTAGTGACTGCTCTGAATGCCGGCATAACAAACCCATGCGCCACAGCAGCTTCCACGCTTGAACTACTGTGCTGCACTGCTTTGACTTGAAGCAAAGGCTGTCCTGAATCTCCAGGCGGGCGAGGTTGCAACACCTTCCAGCAAGAACTCCAAGAACTCCAAGAACTACCAACCACTTTGGGTTCTTTGGAGCAAGGGAGGAGGCATGGATCGGGGTCTTGAAGGACATTGGCTGTGCACCACACAGAGTCCAGACAAGGGCCCGTCGCCTGAAGGAAATAACCTCCAATGGGCTCGTGCGATCCAGAAATGCCTAGGTATCGATCTCGACGCTCGATTGGACGCTGCAAGGTTGGAACACCTCCTCCACTGTCCATTAAGAGACAAATAGAGACAGATTTTGGAACGCCTTGTGACTGGCAGCAGGAAATTGAGTCGTGCGCACAAGATCAGCGGCACAAAAAAAGAAGTCGATGTCGCCATTCCGTGCCACGAGGCCGCAAAAGCTGAGCCAATCTCGTCCTGGAACTCCGGGTGCTGGGCTGGAGGCAGAAGCCTCCACTGTCGGGCGAACACTGTGTGGGCACTGTGCGGCTGATAGAAAGAAAGAGTTGGGGGAGCCTTTCTTCATTTGCCGGTAGCTCAGCAGGAAGCCCTTCCAAGACTTCCTGCAAGATATCTGCTTCTGGCAGTGAGGCAACATCTTTTTAAAACAAAACGGGGGAGTCTATTTCCGCTGGTTTGACTGCACCGGTGCGAACAGCCCGAAACATTGTCATACATGCAGGAAGAGTACCCAGCCAACAGCATGCCCTCCGCGCACGAATATCACAAAGACAGTCCAGCAGTCTGGTCAACGGAACAAAACCATCGCCGTCACCGTAGTCAGAGTCCAGAATGTTGAATATCGGCTCGCAGTCCTGGATTTTGAATGCCGAAGTTCAGAAAGCCAAAAACTCTCGACGAGATGAAGATGCACATGAGCCAAGGGGCTAGCACATCCATGTGGAAAACGTCGTAGAAGGCAGACACCCACGAATTGATGTCCATGGGCCAAAGTGTCGACGTTACAGGATGGCCTTTGACGGCATGTTCGGCTAGCCTCGGCATGCGCCGGACTTCCCTGTTTACGTAATGCTTCGCTGCAACCCTACTAGAGCCTCACGTTGAGTTCCAAGCAATTCTCTACATTTCCCACTATCCCACTGCTTTTGTACGCTCGATGGCACCCGGTCAGCTAAGCTCAGGCTGAGAAGCCTCTGGACGGCAGACTTCAAGTCGCCGCCTGAGATGTTGCGACCCAAAGAGGTATGCAGATACACAGATCCCATGACTGCACCCCTCCTTGTCGGAACTCCAGCTCCTCTCTGAACATCATCAGGGACCGCTGCGCCCGTGAAATAAACAAGCTCTTCTCAGCCTGGCAATCGTCTGAATCTGAACATGTCTGAATTGAACCGGATATGGTACTTGAATAATGGAAGCCATCTTCAGACCCCTTGCGACTTGTCCACACCGGTTTGTAATCATGCCTGCAAGGGCAACAGTCGCAATGCTGGCCTCGTCAATTTCAGTCCAGTGGTGTACCTGTAAACGTCGCTCCCAAGGGCCCAAAAAGATGCTTCATTCTCATCAATGCAGCCCTGAATCCCCAAGCCTCACTCAGAGACTCTCGGATCTTGTCATCAAGGGCTAATTCAACGCGATTCCACTCCACCTGCAAGTTTCTCACCTGGGCCGCTCAGGGGTAATAGCACACCGTGTCCCTGCGGGCGCGTGCTGTTCAGAAGTCTTAGTCTTGCCTTGACAAAACATGGAAGGCATTGGAAGACCCTTATTGCTCTGCCTAGCGGCCGTGGTGTCTGAAGTGAAAGATTCGCGCAGCAGCTGCAGCCTCGAAGGGCACGGCAGATCCGACAAGAGATTGAACTTGATACACTGAGCATGAGCCACAGAGTCTCCTTGTCCTCTAGGGCCCTAGGGGTTATTCTGACTTGTATTTGCCGAGCTCAAGAAACCGCACCGCAACACTTGCATGCAGTCCACGCCGGCAAACGAGCGAAAGCACTGACATTTATATTGATGTGACTATGTGAGTCCAAGCACAACTCGATGTCCAGGCTGCAGCCGCAAAGGCGCAGTGTGTCCAAGTGCCTTATCGCATCGTGTACAGACTCATGACACTGTTCACCGGCAGCATGTTATGTGCATGTGGCATTCTGCACCCTACTGAGGTCCTACCGTACTGTACCCCAAGAAACAAAGCGGCGGCTGCTTTCGAGGCGCAGTGACGTTGGCAGAACTGCCTTCCAGGTCTGACTATGTCTGACTGTATACTCGAACGAGTCCTGGATGGTCCAGGGGCCACCTGGCCTTCATCACCAGCATGGATGCGCGATCCAGCAGTTGGCTTTGCAGCGTCAGGACCGGAAGGGCTGCCTAGTGTCACATCAACGCTGCACTGAAGAATTGCGTCTGAGAAAGGAGCAGCTCACGCCAGTATTAAAGGAGGCCCGTCATGTGGCCAAGGTTCTCGCCCCCTACTAACTCTGGATCCGATTAAGATCCAAGTGGCTGACTTGGTGGACAAAGTGTATGTGACCCATGTCGGAAGGGTTCACACCTACTGTTGACGACGAAAGTCGTCTCCCTTTCCCTGGGGCCTGGAAAACGGCATGTACTCCCAAACATTGGTTCTGCGTCGAACCCTCGAGATCGTGCTTGATTTTTGGTCATGTTGAGTCACTGTTTTCCCTGACGCATCCTGAGCCTTCGAGGCAAAGATTACAGTAAGTAAGGCATGGTTGACTGCGAGTGGTTAACCCGATGTGCATGAACGCCACATGCGTCCTTGCAGTGCTGTGTCTGAGCTAGGCAGCGATACAGTTGGCGAAAACCACCAGCGTGACTAAAGTGCAGCCTGATAGTGCATCCACGGGCCAGTTGCGAACGGGACGGCTGAGGGGTGTGAAACCTACAGGCCACATGATCTTTGGCCTGTTCCCCACCTGGACCCCAGCTCTTACTTCGCAAACATCCAGAACTCCACACCTACGCCCAGACCAAAATAGAACTCCTCAGTAGAATCTGCAGCAAAAGCGCCAGGCTTAGCTCCAGGGTACTTCCCCCGCTACGAGTGGGATCTACATGAAACCCGTAACGCTTCGGAAGACTTGTCAAACAGATAATGAAGACGTGGAGGTTCGCCGCTGCAGGTTCAGCGCTTGGTATTCAATTCAAGCACTTAGAACACAGAACTGTCGGGCAAAAGCAACCGGCAGAAACGTGCTGGTGAAGCAAGAACATTTTACTTTGCCGAATTTTCGAGGCCAGGGATCCTCGCGCGCGGATTCCAGATCCTTCTCGGGCATGAGCGCGTAATGGCCCACAATTCCCAGGGCGTCGCACAAGCTGGCAAAATCCTGAAGAGTCGACAGGATGAGCGCAGGAGTGCTAGCATACCCCATGCATCTCTGGCAGCAGGCTGCAAAGTCTGCCTGCCGGAAGTCGCCGGTGCCTTTGAAGGCCTCAACGAAATGGGCTCTGGTTTGGCACATGATGAGTTGGTAAAGCCCGAGAAGCCCCTCATTCTCAGACCTGCCCAGCCAGAGATTGCTGGCTTTTAGGGAAGTTGTGTGCGTGTGTGTGTGTGTGTGTGTGTGTGTGTATGTGTGTGTGTCTCTTCGAAGCATCTTCCTTACACAACCCCACGCAAACCTTGCAAAAGTCCTATTGATGACCAATAGTATCTGCCAAGGCTGACACAGTCCCGAAAGAAAGCCAAACCCACCAAACATGTGTCAACCAAACGCAGCTCCCGAAACTACACGTTTTTGAATGGGGCGCAGATTCGAACTGTCGAACTTGAGTCTGACGTGCGTGCACGAAAACTCGCATCCTCAGAAACTCGGAAAAATCCTGCGAACGTTGTACGAATCTTCGGGTTGTTTGGGGTTTGCATTTTTGCAAAAATCAAAACGAAGTCCTTCTCAAACATGTAAGTTCAAGGGCTCCGGTACTTCAGCCATGAGCATTTGTAATGACACAACTAGTGCGCACTTCCCTTAAGCGTTTTCTGCGGTTCAGCCACTGCGACCCAAACTGAGGACGCCCCCTTTCTCCTAGCAGGGCAGCTCAATGACTGGGATCTGCTTTTTCTTGACAATCTGCAAAGCGAAAATAACCCCTCCCCCCGCTGGCCCCAATCTGCAGTGCGATTTATCTTGCTCACTATGTAGCCTGCCCTTTCAACTTGAGTGAAAAGGTCACAACTTGGGGGGGATAGTAGCACGAATGCGGGAGCCATGCTCCTATTCCTTTCAGCACTTGATGTTGAGCGTAAACGATACCAAATCCAGTGAAACACGGTTGGCTCGCAGCCCTCGACACTCACCACTCTTGTCACCCTGTGTCTTTGGCCTGCAGCTAGGTCTGCATCTCATAAGCCCTCCGTACTTTTGGTTTAAGGTATGGCACGCGGACAAAAACCTTCGACAGCTTCGAACTTTCGAATTTGGGTTTGGCCCGCGTGTGGGACATTCGTGAGAGTTCACGAAACTTCAGTTTGTTCTATCATGTGGTGGGCTTCGCCAAACACCGCCCACACAACGCGAGCCAAGATAACACAGATTGCGCCTGAACTGTCTCCGGAGCCAGGTTGTCCACCTGCGCTGATATATTGACTCCAACATGGTGTTCTGCTGTAGAGGCCTGCTTGCTGCCAAAGCACGTGGTTGTTGATCCCATAGAACCATGCTTTGCGGCGTTTGGGGACCTCAACCCACAAGCCAAAGCTACGTGTTGTGCGCTGACGCTACTTCGTGTTGCATCACCTCAGGAATTCGGTACGTGCAGAAGGCGGTGGCAAGCACCTACTGTAGACTTCTCAAGCCTCCTCGGCCGGTTCCGGTGACGCAGCAGGTGCTTCTACTGGTTCCTCCTCCTGCACATGGAAGGAGGGTGGACGCGTTGACCATGCTGCCATGTATGCCGGAATAATGTTTCAGGACAAAGTTGCCGGTTTTACAGGGAGTTGTTTAATAGGTTTTCCGGGTGTCTTTTCTGATTTTCGTTTAAGAGGGGGGGGGGGGGGGCGGGACGGTACATGGTAAACATCACAGGCGCCAAGATGGTCCACACCTGACGCTTGTTGCTACTATGCACCGCATGCATTGCGGCATTATGTTCGATTATGTTGTCAGTGCTGTCCGCACTATGACCTGCCAGGAGTTACCAAACTGCTCAGTAACTGCTCCAGGATTGACTGGCTGCCTCGCCAAGATTTTCTGAATCCCACGAAATGCCATGATTGTTCAATTTATTCAATATGCAGCACACCCACAGCGACCAAATGATGACAAATAGTCAACAGTTGAGTTGGATGTTCCATTCGACCTCTTCGATCTTTGACACAGGTTCTACAGTCGAAGGCTGGGAGAACAATGGTTTCAAGATGATACGAATAACAACAACTAATGACAATGAATTGGGCCATGCTTTCTTCATTATCCTTGCTACGCAAACACCAATGAAGAATTGGCCCGCTGCTGGAGTCCTATTTGCGACTTGACCAAAGTCTCACTTGCACATACAGGGACTGCACCGTGGGTGCTCACAGTCCTTCTTGCTCGCCTTCTTGGGGGCCATCTTTCTAGGAGGTCCCTGTCTTGGGCCAAGTCCGACACATAAAGAGCCTGGCCACATGCTCAGTCATGGTTGTACGTTGTTTGCATGCAGGGTTTTATCGGACGCCAGGTGCGCAGTGGCAACGACACACAAAGGCAGTCGGAAGAGCACCAGTTCTGGGCTTAGCGCTTCGAATGTGTCTTCTGTGGGCTGGGCGGGAAGAATGCAGGGCTCTGCTGGCGGTCTTTGAAACCCACGCGCACCCGTTTTGGCGTTCATGGCTTAACAGTTCCCATCGGACCTCGACATGTAGGCCTATGTCGAAGAGATGGATGCCCATAGCTTCACATGATTGCAGGGTCATCTTTCTTTGCAAAGCCATGCCCCGCTACCACTGTTTGACTCGACTGAAGATGTTAGGTTCCCGGATCTCGCGGCCCTAGTCTTATTCACATGCAGCTCCTTAGGGTCCGAAATGGGTGATTGGAATCCATTCGCAACAACGATGCATATTTAAGCTGTAGTAGCATGACAAAATCCCTCATGGTAGATGCCAATTCGTACTGGCTGTGCTACTGTACTCCGTCAGAGCAAGAACAGCTCTGTCGCAAGATATCCATTTAAAAACGGCGCCAGGGCTATCACGCAGGGCGGCGAAAAGCCTTGGACAGGGTGAGAAGGGCGCGACGGATCTGTTTGCACTCAGCCATCAGCTTGGAATTCTCCTCGTGGGATCGGTGACGCTAGAGAACAGGGTTGAGATTGACTTTTAAATCCCATAACAGTCCACCCTCCACCCAACTAACCCAACCGCTCAAACTTCTCTTAATTTCTGCGACGAGGCGCGTGTTGCAGCATCACGATATCTAGGGCTCTTGCTTGGCCTTTAAGCTGCATGATGCCCTTGCAAAATTCAGTGATGGTGATAAGGCCATCCCCTTCTGCAAGTATCTCGAACAAGGGCTCACAGTCCCGGACTGTCACATCCATGTATAGAAGGTATTGCGACACGCTTGGCATACTCAACGCACCACGGAACTCTTCAAGTGTCAAGTTTCCATCACCGTCATCATCCACCACGCAGAAGAGCTCCTCGAGGCGCCTTTGATATTTCAGAGAAACCGACCTGGACTCCTCCATCACCATCTCCGCATCGTTTGCCGCACTCTGCAGTGTCTCTTTGATGAAAAGAGCCGTAACGATCCGCAGGATTGCAAAAACGACGACTGCGATATAGGGTAAGAAAAGCGCCGCATACCCAGCATCCACATACTCCACGACAGGTCTCACGAGGAGAGGCCACCCGCCGCTCAAGGTAATCTCAAACGTGGTATACATAGCCTTGAAGAAGCTACCATACCAGCTATTCATCTGCAGGCGAGCTTCGAAATCTGCCTGATCATCGAGGATGAAAGGCTGAAGTGCTTGGCAGATGATCAAAGCAAAGGTCAGCTGACAGAGTAAAATCAAGACAATGGACCAGAAGAGGGCACCTATGCTTGCAACACAGGTTCCCACAAGATGCCTCAGCTGTCTGAACAAAGACAGCGATTTCATCACTCGAAGAGTTCGTGCCACGCGCGACAGCTTTATCAGTCGGATCTGGTTGGCACTGAGCTGGCCCTCATCACCGACAACCGCGGGCACAATGATCAGCTCAGTGAAATTGATGGAGACGAGGGCAGCATCAAGCAAATTCAAGTACATTCGCCCTCGAACCGGGTCGTACCACCATTCTCTTCGCAGCACTGCTACCCTCACTCCAACATCCAAGACATAGAAGCCGAAGAATACGTATTCCGCAATGTCGAAAGCCTCCTGTGTTAGTCCGGGCCACGCCTGATCGCTCAATCCCACGCTAAAATCTGCCTGGGACCCGATCCACTGTGCATTTAAAATCATTGCCACAACGTGGACGATCACCACAACGCCAATGTACAAATCCATCTGGCCCTTGACAAAAGCCTTAAAAGGCGGGTCCTGCACAGGGGCTCAGATTTGGTTACTGTTGGAAACTTGTTTTTTCTCGGGCTTCTTTCTGGCTTGTGCAGCTTTTGTAACTGGGTCCGCCACCCACTTCTCCTTCATGACTTGTGCCCCAAGCGTGTTGGCGGCCTTTGAGAAGAGTCGACTCTTGGCATCTGACGAAGGCTCCGAGAGGTGGTACGACACCTTGGGCGACGAACTCCACTCATCTGCTAAGATGACATCGCTGTCCGGTTCGACAACCGCCTGGCTGTGTGAGCCGGCAGAGCCGGAGGTCTCAAACGAGCTTCGGCTTGCCAGGCTTGCCAGCGGAAGAAGCGCGCCGGGCGTAATCAACCCACGGAGAACTGCTTCCTGCTGAGCAAACTTCAAATCGAGGGCTGCTAGGAGACAAGCCTCCAAGCGAGTTTCAGGCACGGGGACCTTGCCATCTCCATGCCAATTTGGCACAGGCATCTGGGTCGGCCCCTGTGTAGCACTTCCTGTGAAACCTTGCCTTCAGAATGGCTACGGTATAGGCCATCGACCCACGCCAACCTACGCAGCTCAGTATGCCTGGACAACCACAAGCGCATGCAATGACGTGCCCCGGCCTGCATTCTGCGTGTCAGCTGTCTGGCCCCTACAAGCCATCTGCGCATGCTATGTGAAGATGCGATGTGCAGACGCAAGCGACGATGAATGATATGAAAGCTGTTTTGTTCTTCCGCAAAGCCGATCTTCAAAGCTGCTTAAAGGCTTTAAATGCAACAGATGAACATGCCATCCACCGCTGTCGATGGAAATTTATTCAAGGTCGAGCTGGCTTTTCGCTTTTAGAAACTAGGCGATGGATCTCCTCGCATTGCTTGAGCAGCTTGGCGCTGTCATGCTGCAGGAGAACCATGTCTAGGGCCCGTGCCTGCCCTTTCAGCTGCATAAGCCCCTTGCAGAATTCAGAGATGGTGATGAGGCCATCGCCATCGGACAAGATGTCAAAGAGAGGCCGCACATCACGAACACTGACGTCAAGAAACCTCAAATACTGCTGAACGTTTGGCAAGCTCATGGCTTCGATGAACTCCTCAGGAGATAAGTGCCCGTCCTTGTCATCATCAAAGTAGTTGAACAGCTGGACAAGTTTCTCTTGATACTTGAGAGCAGTTCGTCGGGTCTCTTCGATCACTATCTCTGCATCTTGCGCAGCACTCTCTAACGTTTCCTTGAGAAACAGAGCCGTGACGATGCGCAAAACCGCAAACACAACAAGGGTTACATAGGGAAGGAAGGCTGCAGCGTACCATGAGTCCACAAGATCCAGAACTGGGCGCACAAGAGTGGGCCATCCGCCGGAGTACGTGATCTCGAACATGGTATAAGTCGCTTTCAAAAAGCTGCCGTACAACGCATGGATTTGCAATCGATCTTGCAGGTTCTGAGATTCATCGAGGATCCACGATTGCAAGGCCTGACTGACAATCAGGGCAAAGGTGATCTTCAGTACAAGAAGAAGAATAAGCGACCAAAAGAAAGCCCCAAGGCTTGCAATGCAAGTTCCCACGAGCACGCGGAGCGGCAAAAAAACCGACAGCGTTTTGACAATGCGCAGAGTTCGCCCCATACGTAAAAGCTTGATCACGCGGACATGATTGATACGTAGCTCTTGCGAATCAGCCTGTGCGATCAAGGGGAGCAGAATTAGCTCGACGAAATTGATCGTCACTAACAACGCGTCAAAGAGGTTTAGGTACATGACGCCCTCCCGCTGTGAGTAGTACCACTCGCGGCGCAAGATGCACATCTTCGCCACAACATCCAGAAGGAATATCACAAAGAATATGTACTCAGCAGCTGAGAAGAACTCCGAGGAAAACCAGGTTGGCGACGGCTCCGACAACCCCAAAGCTTGATCAATGACTGAGCCATTCCACTCGGTCAACAAAATCATGAAGGATATGTTCAGTATAACGATGGCTCCTATGATGACATCAAAGGGGCCCCTCATGAAGTCTTGAAGGCGCTTTTGCAGAGAGCGTCCATCCGACCTTTCACCCATCCACAAAGCAGATAGCGGCGCTCTTCTAATCCACTTCATGTTGAGAGCTGACTCGCGTCTTCTGACCTTCGGCCTAAGAATCTCCGCTCAAAACCAAACGGCCACTGCCTAACAAAAGAGACCTTACACGCTTATTCCAAACATGGCTGAACAATGCTGAACAACTGTGTAACGCCCTACAGGGCCCTTCAACACTAACGACTCCACTGGGCATCCCTGGACCAGCGGCTGCGCCGGTGGCTGAAGCTCCTGTTGCTCTCGGAGGATCTGCGAACTCTTTGCTTCGGCTTCGATGGACTTCGACACCTCCTCCCAATCGCGTTGGTTAGCCGCACGGCTGCTCGCAAACCTTTGAAGAGGAACGAGGATAATGAAAACGACAAAGCTTCAACAACGAGCAGTCTTTTCTTACTTCGGCTGATAGTTCAGATCTCAACGAGCAGCTGTTCTGGGTCCTGGAGGCCTTGAGTCTTTCCGTTTGCCTCGCGCGCTGCAATGGATTTCGACATCTCCCAGTCATGCTCGGCAGCGCGGCTGCACAGAAGCCTCCTAGGAGGGCACCCAATGCGCTCACGATCTGACTATCTACAAAGACAGAGCCATCTGCAAGGCACTCTCCCTCTCTCTCTCTGACTCGCTCTCTCTCTCTCTCTCTCTCCCCCTCTCCTGCTTCTTCGTCTTCTCCTTCTTCTTCTACAGGGCTTCAAGGACCCAACAGGCCCCCCCTCTCTCTCTCTGCCCCTCTCTTTTTCAACGAACAATGTTCAACTGAACTGCATCTGGGCACCGGATCAGATCTTCCTGCTGCGCAAACTTGGCAGTCAAAGTTGATTGAACTCGCTGTTCGAGCAGCTGGATCAGCTCCATGTCGAGGCTGTGGACATGTAGCATCTGCTTGCCATCACCTGTAGGTACTGGCATTCCTAGGATATGTCCCTTCCAAATCCTCCTGACCTTTCGTCAGGGCAAAAAAAAACGGCTGCGTTCAGCCATGCGACACAGACTGCGCAGCAAGACACAAGCGGACTTGCAGCAGTTCAGAGAATCGAAGCTCGGCAAGCACACGCACATCATGTTTCAACCACGCTCACGAAGGCCCGCACGTCAGCTGCTTCGAGAGGCCTCGCAAACGGGATACCAAAGATGGCCTAACCCTTTGACCTCCGGTCGAGGAGGCATAGGATGGCACGGGAGAGGGCACTACACAAGCACTACACAAGCACCCCCCAGCTTGGGAAAATGGAGTCCTTCGGTCTGGGAAGCAATTTTTTCTAGCGCGCAGGTTCAGGTTGACAGTGCAGACCGATCTTCCCAAACTCGAAGCTGACTTGCGACCTTCGTGACAAACTCATTGGCGACTTTAGTAACTTTGGCTTTGCTCCGTTGAAAGATGTTCAAATTCTAGCCCGAGTTCGGAAACCGCTTCGTTCGTCTTGGACAGCGATCCTGTGTCCGGACACTTCCCACTGAGGCCCATGAACGCCACCAATAAAGCTACTGAGAAAGTAACATGTAAGGAAAGGTCCGGAACCGTCCGTTGAGAGCATCAAATGATGTCATGCGCATGCGGGGTTCAGGTCTCTTGGAGACGTCCCGCCCAAGAGGTAGTAGATATGGCCTTGCATACCCTGCGGACACTGCGATGAATGTCCTCACACCTTTTCATCAGCTTCGAGTTTTCGTGCTGCAACATGATGATGTCCAGGGCCCGCGCCTGCCCTTTAAGCTGCATGAGGCCTTTGCAGAACTCGGCGATGGTGATGAGACCGTCGCCCTCAGAGAGGATGTCGAAAAGAGGGCGCACATCTCGAACGCTGACGTCCAGGAACTTCATGTACTGCTGCACGCTTGGCAAGCTCATGGCTTCTACAAACTCCTCCGGAGACAACTGCCCATTGCCGTCTTCATCCACAAACCTGAAAAGTTCCTCCAACTTCTTTTGGTACTCCAGAGCATATCTCCTGGTTTCTTCGATGACCAGCTCCGCATCATTTGCGGCGCTAGCCAATGTCTCTTTAATGAACAGGGCGGTCACCACCCGTATGATTGCAAAAACTACCAATGCAATGTAAGGTAAGAACAGGGCCGCGTACCATGGGTCCACCGACTCAAGAACTGGTCGGACACGTGATGGCCATGAACCACTGTGAGTCACTTCAAAAATGGTGTAGAAGGACTTTGTAAAACTCCCATACCAATCATTCATCTGAAGCCGTGCGTCCATATCTGCTGAGTCGTCTAAAATGAAAGTCTGGAGCGCTTGGGAGATCATCAGTGCAAATGCTATGTTCAACAGGAGCAGAAGTACCAGTGACCAGAACAAGGCCCCTATGCTTGCAACACAGGTTCTGACCAATAGCTTCAGCTGCCGAAAGACATGCATGGTTTTGACAACACGCAAAGTCCTGTAAATCCGCATCAACTTCAATATTCGGATCGCACTTGCCTGAAATTCATTGTTTCCGCCAGCTGACAACGCTGCAGGTAGGATGACGAGCTCAATGGTGCTGAGACCCACTAGACCAGCATCAAAGAGGTTTAAGTACATGAAGCCCTCCTGCGGATCGTAAAACCACTCCCTCCGGAGCACAGCCACCCGAATCGCAACATCAGCGACGTAGAGTATGAAGAAGCAGTACTCGGAAATGTCGAAGAATCCCTGCGTAAAGAATGGCCAAGGATCTTGACTTAAGTTCAAATCGACCTCAGACGTGGAATGAAAGGGAGACGGCAAAGAGTAATTATCTAACTCGCGACAACCCCGTCCTGCACTGAACCTTATTCATTACATGATAACCTTCTCCGATCTGTTGTGACAGCTAAGGGGCCTCTGCTCGGGAGCCTATCCACTCCGTCATAAGGACCATAAAGATCATGTTGATGATCACCACCATTCCCATGTATCCGTCTAGCCGCTTCTTGATGAAGGATTTCCATGGTGGATCCGGATCCCACCGCTCTATCATAATCGCAGCTCCTAGCGTTGCCGTGTTCTTCCTGACCATTTCAGGCCTTCGAGAAGAAGTGCCGGCATCGCTGGTGGCATCACTTCTGAGGGTAATTATGGGTTGAGCTACCGCATCACTTTGAGAATCCTCCTCGTTGCTTGGAGAACCCACGCCGGTGGGAGAGATGTTTGATGCCGATCTGTCCGGAAAGCTCCGATCTTCAGGCTTTCGCTCAAGCAACCCGCGAATCACAGCCTCTTGCTGTGCAAACTTGTGGTCCAATAAGGACACAAGCCACTCTTCCATGTCGGCACTTGACTCATCGCATGCCGGACTGGGCATGGCTCCCGAAGCAAACTATCTACTGAAAATACTGTGAATCTACTATCTACAGGCATTTCTGTAGGACTACAAATACTTGCTGGCAGAACCAAAAAATGAGCAGCAATTAAGCAAGGCTTGCTAGCATGCCGGTTCGCTTCAAAGCAAACCTGACACTGGCGAAGCTACTTCCACACGCAACTCATCCACACGAAGAGACTGAAGAGACAAAGAAGCACAGACGCACAGGCACAGAGAAAGATTAAAAAGTGTTGCAGACACAGAACACATTGGGACTCATGACACACGGTGACACAGTGCCAGGGACTTCAGTAGGCACTGTAACGGAAAGCAGCAGTGCACGCCGATGGCGCATGTGCAAGCCACACACACACACTATGCTGGCTTGCGCTGGCACAGGCGGAAGGGGTTTTGGTTGGCTTATAGGGACGTCCTGATGACCCTCCTTTGTGAGGTGAGCTGGCTTGTCCACACATACACAAACGACTCACCGCACCAAAGTGGAGACCGTAGCTCTTTGTCACGCTAGCTATGCGACTGGAGAAAATTGCTACCTTGGGCAGATCGGCAGATCCGCCTCCTGAAGGGGGTCATGGTCTCTTGGAGACGCAGACCGCTTCGACGTCTTATCTAAAAACCCCCTCTGGGGGAATATGGCTGAGCAGCCTCACAAATTGCACGATGAATCTCGTGGCACTGCCTCATTAGCTTGGAGTTTTCATGCTGCAAAATGACTATGTCCAGGGCTCGTGCCTGCCCTTTGAGCTGCATCAAGCCCTTGCAGAATTCGGCGATGGTAATCAGGCCGTCACCCTCAGAGAGAATGTCAAAAAGCGGGCGTACGTCTCGCACACTGACATCCAGGAACTTCATGTACTGCTGCACGCTTGGCAAGCTCATAGCCTCTACGAACTCGCTTGGGGTCAGATGTCCATCGCCATCATCATCCACGATCTGGAACAGCTCCTCCAATTTCTCCTGGTACTCTAAGGCATTCCGCCGTGTTTCTTCGATGACCAGCTCTGCGTCATTTGCCGCGCTGGCCAATGTCTCTTTGATGAAGAGAGCAGTCACCACTCGTATAACTGCGAAAACTACCAATGCAATATACGGTAAGAACAGGGCCGCGTACCATGGGTCCACCGAATCTAGAACCGGTCGGACACGTGATGGCCACGACCCGCTGTGGGTCACCTCGAAAATGGTATAGAAAGCTTGAGTAAAGCTTCCATAGTACTGGTTCATGAGTATGCGCGTGTCTAGGTCAGCACGCTCGTCCAATATGAAGGTCTGCAGAGCTTGTGCCATCATGAGGGCAAACGCAATATTCAACAGGAGCAGCAGAATCATGGACCAGAACAGCGCCTCCAGGTACAAAGAAAACGATACTCATCAATTCTAAAACAGTATAAGCAAACCAAATAAACATGAAGAAAGACTAGGTCCTCTCAATAGAAAATAAATAACCATCTAAACGAATTCTACAAGTAATTAAGTATATCAAATGCGATAAATAAGACAAATCAAAAACACAAAAACATTGCTATGCCAGAAAAGCGCCCCAATACTTGCAATGCAAGTCGAGACTAGCAAACGCAGCTGGCGGAAAACAGACACAGTTTTGAAGATGCGCAGCGTCCGCACAATTCGTATCAGCTTCAACACTCTAATCGTGTTGGTTTCGATCTCCGGGTTACCACCGGCAGAAAAAATTGCCGGAAGGAGGATCAGCTCGAACGTGCTGATGCAGACAAGGCAGGCATCGAACATGTTCAGGTACATGTACCCTTCCTGCATGTCGAAGTACCATTCACTACGTAGGACAGCAATACGGAAAACGACATCCGCAAGGTAGAGGGCGAAGAAACAGTACTCAGCCACTTCGAAGAATGTGTCTGTAAAGAAGGGCCATGCTTCTGGAATCAATCCAAGGCTTGCTTCGGCCCTAGACCCTGTCCACTGTGTCATCACAACCATGAAGATCATGTTGATGAAAACCACTCCCCCCATGTACAGGTCCAGGCGCGTCTTGACGAACTGCTTGACGGGTGGTTCCGGCTGCATTTTCTCGTACATTATGGTGACCCCCAAAGTCGTCATTCGCTTTTTTGCCTGTTTTCCAAAGCAGCGACCGTGCGGCAAACAGGTTTGCACATGCTTGCACATCATATCAAAGATGAAACTAGCATTTTCTTATCCCAGATCAGCCCCTTAGCCTTAGCCCCAAAAGTATTTGCAGACACTTGTGCAGCCTTGGGTGTGCTTGTTATTGACTCGACCGAGTGGTCGCCGTGATCGCCGTTCTCGCCATGGTCGCTGCCGTGGTTGCCGAGGTCGCGGTACCCCTCGGTGTCGATCTCGTCTACGTTTATCCTTGCCGGCATCTGCGACATCTCCTGGTCCAGCTTGACTTCGTAGACTTCGTGTACTTTTTGGTTTGGTAAGTTTGACCTGGATTGTAAGGGAGATAATGATCGCGGAGATTTTGCCTTCTCCATGCTGTGAGAGGATGGTCGAGGGATCAGAGGAAGTCGAGACATTCGAGGCGCAACTGACTGCGGAAGGGACTCCATCAAACCCCGTAGCACGGCTTCCTGCTGGCTGAATTTCAAATCCAGAACGGCAAGAAACCATGTCTGAAACTCCATCCACTCGGCCGCGGTCAGATTCTGATCTGCAGAAGGAGATGGCGTCGGCATGGTGCGATGGATTTTGACAGCTACGTGTCAGTTGCACCTGCGCATCTTCACTCTAACACTCTAACAATGTCAATGCACGACAATGTACGAGTATGTCCTGTGTGTGTGTGTGCGTGTGTGTGTGCGTGTGTGTGTGTGTGTGTGTGTATGTGTGCGTGTGTGTCTCGTTGTGCTGGTTTGCCTCGCTTTGAAAAAGTTGTGGGAATCTTCGTGGCACGACTGCAATCTGGCCAAAACATCCTGCGCGTGGAGCAACTGCCAAAAGAGCGGCCATCGCCGTAGCCAATGAAATATGCACGTGAAGTGATGCCTTGTGTCTGCACAATTCTAACGTAATAATCAGAGCTCAGGGCCCTGGCGATCGGTCCGCCAGCACGACTGTGCAAGGCCGCAGCTGTCTTTGGAGCCTCATGGGCCTGAGTTCTTCAGAGTTCTTCAGTGTTTCACCCGGTTTGAAGGTCGTTGCCGGACGAGTACACGGACTCTACACGGGTATACGTGTATCTGAGCCCAAGCAGCCCAAAAGTCTTTAGCGAGAGCTTGTCCTCAGCGATTCCAACCAGAGGCACTCTGACAGTACAGTACCACTGACAAAAGAGAGAAGAGATAAGAAATAAGAGGCTTGAGAGGAAGAGACGACAAGAGAAGATAAGAGCAGGGGGAGTTGAGAGCCAAGTTTCGCCATGCGGACATTCGCGCGGGAAACGCGAAGGTGGAGCTGAGCTTCGCCTCGAAGTGCGATGTGTTGGGATGTCAGTCCTTCTGTGAGGGACAGGGACTTCGATTGTTGGATGTGTCTGGATTGTGCCAGTTGTATCTGCCTTCATGCTTGGAATTGTACCTTCCAACGCTCAGGCATGCTACAATCTGGCATGCCAGCTGCAAACGATCTCCAATTCATGGCAGCCCCAAAGATATCGAAACTCCAAGAGGTACAATGTACTATATGGTCAGAAAAATGCAGAGGACCCGTCAAGGCCCGTGCATATACATGGTCACCTCCCAGTACGGCGACTTTGGCGTACCCAGAATTCCTGGCAATCGAAGTAAATGCGGCTTGGAGTGTAGATCGTTCACGTTGGTTTTTCTTTCATTCCCTCCCTTCAGTTGCTCTTCTTCTGACAAAGCTAAGGCTCAGAATGATGTTGTCGAGATCATAGTAGTTCTTGGCTTGAACCTGTCCAGAAACTTCTGTAAGCCGCAGGTCATCCGAGCGCTGTAAAGTTTAGGATCTTTGAGAGAACCCACTTGAAAACGGCTGAGAGGGTGGTGCCCTCTCTACGCCTCCACGTTGATGACCTCAGAACACTGCCCACTCTGCCCTTGCTTGGAGGCCCTCGGCATTTCCGCTGGGCTAGCGATCATCCGAAAGCTGTTGAGGGCTGGGCTCGGATGTCGAAATCATCAAAGTTAAAGTCGCGGAAGATCTCTACCTCGCAGGGGCTCCGCGCGCCCGGATCGGCTCCATGCAGTGAGAGAACGCATTCCGGCAAATATGTACGAAGATTACGGGCTTAGGGTCGAGTTATTAAAAGTAAAGGATACCTACATTAGCAAAAACATCTGCAGGAGCCTGGGGACCCAGGTCGGAAGGTTTTGTAGGCCTAGGGGTTGGATTTCCCCAAATCCCAAGCTTGCAACCTCAACCCTCAACCCTCCAACCTCACCTAAGTCTGTTATCCCTCATATTGAAACTTGTTGGCTGTGGGGAGGGGGGGTTGATACCAACTGAAGCTGCGTCAACCCTGATAAGTCTTTTGAAGAATGCCTCTCCCCTATACTGCTTTCATCAGGTGCGCTAGCGCGTTTGCCAGGAAAACGTACGTTTTAGATGCGAATATATAATATATACAAATGACCATATGGCAACGCTTGGACACATTATCCGAATGGCGTGAATCCTAGAATTGACATCATTGGTGTGGATAATTTCGAAAGGGCACTCAAACAACATTTTGCAAACTGTTCAATAAAATTCAATAAAGACATGAGATGTCAGCAAATCACGAATAAACAATACAAACCAATAACACAAATCGCCAGCAACTCATTGTTTTGGGGCCCAACGCGTCAAAACCATGCTTGTTGGCACGATGCATGATTCTCAGCCCTCTCGGCTCGGAAAAGGAGGGTTGGGAAGTTGGGAACCATGGCTGCCAAAAGCATGATTCCTAAACAACCCCCCCCCCCCCCCCCGGGTCGAAAAGAGGGGGTTGGGAACCAGGGTTTCCCACGCAAGCCCGCCAACACTTTGTTGCCTTTGCTTGGGCCGATCCTGCTCTTCCCGCGGCTCTTCCCACAGATGACCGTCCACACTGCAAACTGGGGGGCTAAAAGCCTGAATGCTTACCGTTCTTTCTACACTTCTGAGATGGAGAGCTAGGGCCAAGCTTGCGCCACATTGGTGTTTAAGGAGCTGAAACCTGGCGGGCAGCCTCATGACGAACACATAAGTTGATCAGTTGATGGGTTCGTGCGCCTCTTCATTAAATTTTCAAGCAACAAGGCCTTTTGAGAACTTACTACATATTGTCAACTAACATTCTATGTTTCCAACTCCACGGTGAGGTGACGTTTGCCGGCCAGCCCTCTCGAAGGTACATGTCGTATCATGTCTAAGACAATTGAACCTCTGAGAACTTTTCCTTCCCGCCTCCGCAGCTTCGGCATCGACGGACCTGTCGCTTTCTGCGCTTTGCTTTGCAAAGGCGCAAAATGCCAAGAGGTTTCATGGACTACTGGCTGGGAAGCAATGGCAATCAGTAGCTGAAAAACAAGCAGGCTTATGTAAATAACATGCGACGCCACAAACACTGCATTATACCGCATTCGTTGGTGAACAACTCCTGCCACCCCGGCCTTTGACACCTTTGTCTTCTGAGCCCGGCGAGCAACATGAAACAGTACATGGTATCCAACGTCTACGACTATTCTATGCTATTCTGCTTGCCTGCATACAGGACCTGCGAGGTCTCTCTCAATAGGTGGTCACTACATGTACCTACGTAAATCTCGCCGCGCGGCAAGAAGTCGACAACAGCTGGCCGCACCAGCCCGTGTGATCGCAGAATGTCGTCCAGCGTACGACACTCCTCAGTGCAAAGACTGAGTAGCTACAGTACCTTCATTTGTGGACAATGCTCAAGTGATTCGGCAGAGATGCTCTGCCATCAATTTGGTCCTGCTTTCAGCTTTCACTGGCTATTGGAGCCACCCCTGCACAACATGGCCAAGTAGCTGCAACAAACTCCGGCCGTGTGCCTCCGCCGGTGATTCTTACGGCTCCACCTTGGCTACGTAGGAAAACAATCAGTGTCGTCGCATGATGATGAGAACTGTTCTAACGCGCATGCATCCACAACCCCGTGGCTTTAAACATGGCACTGGCGATTTCTGGCTGATCCTGATCTCCTCGAATGTAAGCCTCCCGATAGTGTCAGCTTTGGCCTATGGTGGCTGCCACTGCTGCTACATTTGGCAAGCCTCGATCGGATCTTTCTGGAAGGACATGACGACCTAACACACTGCATCACAGGAGCCGCCCTTGCACCGCAAATTGCCATGGGGCTAAGTTATGCACACTACGCGGATGGCTCCAAACACCTGCAAAAGGGACAGGATTGCACACAATCGTAGGATCGTGCTAGATGGCCGCAGGGTCCAAGTCAGCCAGGTCACAGTTTTTCACCAACTGACAGCTGGGCCTCCGCAACACTACTCGACTAGTGTGCTTGAGCGTGGGTCGCATGCTGCAGGCACTGCCTGAAAAGGCAGGCATGATGGCATCATGAGTTGCGTCAGGCAGAGGCGACTGCGAGTTTATGCTGTGGCGTACAATTGCCCGGTAATTAACATCATGTGATTGTAGCGCAAGCATGGCCTGTACTCCTCGAAGTAGGAGTGCATGGAGGGGTTGGGCTCAACGCAAAGTCCGCCTAGAGGCAAGGATGGAAACGCACAACTGCCGTGAAAGAGCCAAAGCCCCCAGACTGTAATTGCAATAGCATATTCAATACTACGTATAGGAATATACAGTACTTTCACTGGAGGTCTGGGATGTTAAACGTGCATGATTTTTTACTTATGAAAGATTCTTGGCAGCATCAGTATCATCAATATGTCCAACGATATGCTTTCAAAGTCAGATCATGATCTGTATGTGCAGAATTTTGTGAACCCCCTATGAACTCAGCTTCTTTGATGCCTTCGTGTGTTTTCATTGACATGTCCAGTTGTCTTCTGTTGTCTTCAAGCCCCTCTCCGCTCAAAAAGGTCCTACAGGGACCAAGGGAGCCACGGTCCCAAACCCGTGGGTCACATGCAATGGACAGCTGCGGTGCTAAATGATGGGGGTGAGGGTGGACTGAGTGCACGGACTCAGTCCAGACTGCCATGCAAGCCAATGCTCGCGATGGGGGTGGGAACGCCCGTGCAAGAACCACCAGCAAACGCAGCATAATGCGTACCATCAGACTTTTTTTGCTACAAGGTTGGGCATGGTATAAGGGCAATCTTATCTCAGACGTTGGTCGCCTGGCTGCTTTTTTCCCTTGGCAAGACATCACTACTGTCAAAGACAAAATGAATGCTTGCAGAAATTGGTGGTTTGAGCGAGATCAGTTTTTTCATTTGAGAAGGCAAGATGGAGTTGTACACTTGCAACAGCCTGGGCAGCACTTGCCGCAGCGACGCGAGTCCATTGCGGTACTGAATCAGCTCAGCTTGTTAACGTACAACTGTCAGTCGCTGGGGGCTGGCAGTGTCCGACTCCAGGAACTTGCCGAAGACATGCACGCGCTGGGAGTCACGATGGCTGCATTGCAAGGCACGAGGTGGAAGTCTGGAGATCCGCGCAGTGAGTGGACTGTATTCAACCGTGATGGTCATGCTAGATTTTCTTGTTTCTCCTGGGGCAAGCCTGTGAACAACAAGATGCTTGGAGTGCAGCTGCTCGTCAGCCATCGACTGCTGCAGTCTGCTTGCGTTCACACTCGCTTTGA